TTTTTACATATATCTGGAATCAATCAGCCAAACGTATTGTAATGGAGATGTTGCAATGATGTAATGATAGCAAGTGTATTTTTTTATAATTTTATATGCTATCAATAATACATTTAATATTACGAAAAGATGTTGTATTGATGATTTATCAGGTAACAGATATATTCTATTAAATTCGAACCGAGTCTTATCGATAGAAAAGATAGTGTTGTCTATTTAACCCATCGTGAAATATGAGCAAACATGCATTTTACGAAGTCATAGAATATAGGCCATTTGTATTTATATATCCATTACAAATAATTGTGTACAACAGTTATAAAAACATGTTGAGAGAAATTACATGCACATGTTACAAGCTCTTATCTAATTATATGCATATACAACTCAGACTGTTACGTTATATAATGTCAAGTGTTATGCTGTTATAAGTTTCAGCTATTTTGTTCTAGACGGCGTCATTAAAGCATAAAATCATTAAAACCGCAACATGTTTGATAATATATGAACATGTAAAATGTGATAAGAATATATTTTACTAGGCTAGATCCTAGGTTTATAAATGGATTTAATATTCAAATAAAATTGTGAGAAAAATAGAGCCTACTTTACGTTACATTGTTAGTTATGTATATCTTAATAAATAAACACCTTGTGATGACGTTAAACGCATAATGCACAATATGTCAACATAAGTTAGGAAAGGTCTTTTGTATGTGTGCAACATTTTGAAAAAAAAAACACCAAAAATAATCATGCAAGTGCGAGCCATAGAGAACAAAGAAAAACCCATAGCAATATGAAAACCGCAAAACAGCACGATTGTTTACGGAAATTTTAACAAAATCCACACTCTACCACCGGTTTAGGCAGTTTTCTATATTGAAGTATTTTCGAAATATAAAGTATTTGAATTAATGATCCACAAGGACCAGCAGCATATTATAACCCTGTCCAGATAGGAGCTTTGGGTGTCATTTCTTTGCCGCCAATCATCATTGTCGTTTTGCAATCGGGAGATCACTCTAAAACCATAGTGTAGAAGTAACTGTATCTGAAAGTCTATAAAATTCAATGTGCATTGGTTATTGCATTTACAATTACTATTACATTATACCTGCGATCACTGTATCATTAGTTTTTAGCTGGCACAACTCACTTTATATCATCTTTACGGATCACATTGAGTAGGTATTTTCTTGACCTTAATAACGCAAAATACATGTAATTCAACAGACGACAGATTAATTTTATTGACATATGTTTTGATTATCAAAGGTTAAGCTGTTCATACATTACGCGTGTGCATCTTATTTATGCAACTGCTATATCTTATACATGGATGACATGTAGATTAATTATAATATAGAAGTAGTTTATTCTTTTATTCCATTAGGCAATATGCCCATGATGGCATTACAAGCATGTTATAAATGGCGAACAATGACAAGCAAAAATGTACCTTAAACATCAATAATTGGAGAAGTTCGAACATGAATATTACAAACATAAGAACACACACACGCGCGCATGCACTCACTCTCGCTCGCACGCACGTACATACATATAAGTCATACGGATGTAATGCGCAGATCATATTCATATACAATGTATTCATCACTTATATTTGATAAATTAAACCGATCTCAGTCATTATGTCGTTAACGACCTCCATATCGAGCTATTTGTCTTGACGAGACGAAATTCAAGTATTTCACTTTATTACTTTCATTAAAGTAATAATACTTAACATTTAATAAGAATGTAATCTTAAAATAGATCGAAAGTTGTAGAAAAAAAATGCATCTACGCATTACCTTCCGTACAACACATTATTTCGCTTTTCAAAAGCTTTAAATACATAAATTCCAAGTTTACTAACAATTTTTACATTTTCTATTGTTAACAATTCAACAAATTTAATCATGTTTGGATGCTTCTAATATCTTTTATGTATATATATTTTCCTTAAATCATTGTACAATGAACATTCAAGAATAAAATGATATTCGTCTTCTAACATATTACATATAGTACATTTTCTTTCATCGATTGGTGTTCTTAATGGTCTAGTCCATCTACCTGCCTCTATTTGCAATCTGTGAGAAGACACTCTTAATCTTATCAATTAAAAACAAAACTTATTAACTGCAATGTGATCTAGATATTCAACTGCTATATTCTATAAAATAATGCTCGTGGTGAACTTTGTATCCTATCATGCCAGTTTTGAACAAAATTATCTTTCAATCTTTGCTTTGCTAGTTCTAGAAATATGTCTGCATTTCCTACATTTGCTGTAACCAAACTTCATAAAAACCTAAAACACATACATTGTAATACATTTTTCAATCGTGAACACCATTTAACTTTAGTTGGATTATTTTCAAAATCGTTCTTAAGCAATAAATATATCTTATAAATTATATATTTATCAATATTGTCCATTGATTTATAAGATTGTCTATACTTTTGTCTATACTTTTAGGAGCGTGGATCGTACTTACTGTAACAGCAAATGAAATAGGGGCATACGACTTCTATTGACATATTTCTAGTTCTTTAAATCATAAAGTTTGTGTTTTATTTAAAACTTGTTTCTATCCAGTGCAGTATGTCAAGATGTTTATTTATTCAACAATAATAAAGTTTCATAACTCTGAATAAATCAAACATATAATTAAACTGTCTAATGCGTTTTATTTGCTTAAGACAAATTCAGCTACAAACTATACACACATTAAAGCTATAGAACTGTTTTGGCAATAAGCCTAAGTTGTCTTATTTCGAACCAAAAAGGTTTCACGATAAAAAGCTTTCATTGATTATGGAAGTCATAGTGACGTCAATGCCGCGTGCAGGATGCTATTAATAGGCTCAATAATTTATCAGTCCATTGAGTTTATCAATATATATTGATGTCTAACATACACTATTTAAGACTCGCATTGTTTTATTGACAGAAAGTACTAGTATATAACATTCAGTATATTTTGATACATGCTTGTAAACAAATAAAAACACTAGAAAGTAATGAGTTCATTTTAATTTGCATCTTCACTTTAATTGCACTCGAGGACGATAACTATGTTAAGTAGAAAACATATAAATTTTGATGTTTGTTATACACACTTATAGATTTCTATGAGACTTTTAGTGTTGTAAAATCGAAATTTGACATCAATTGATGTATCGTTAATTACGGTGTAATTTTGCATGCTAAGAAAGTTCTTCTGGTACTTGAAATGTGTGTATATCTTGTTTTATACTTAGGGTGTCCGACCACAGTGCCATATTGACATTAATGAACTCGGAGAAGCAAAATGCATTGAACGTCAAACTCGATCACTGTTGTTTGCTTTCGTAAATGATTGTCAACATTTGTATTTTGATTTATTGTCATATTGCTTACTCATTGATATGTCAATTCATATCTTTTCAGCCCTACTTAGTGCATAGATTCTGTTGGTGTATATATTCTGTTGTTCAAATTAAGAATATAGCATCTGAACTAAATGATTTATTTGTACATATGCATGTGCATTTTGTTTAATATGTCGAACCCGTTAAAATCAAACAAGTATATGTGCTTAAGTATATGTGCTTATTGATTGAAAATCATTTACTAGTTTTCAGTTCAATTAAAATACTGTTAATCTGAAACAACTTCACTTCTAAAACATTATCAATATTATGTGTCTTTTCCTTATTCGCAAGCTAATTGTTTCTTTATACCTCGGCTAGGCGGTAATTAAAGAGATACAATTATAGTTGAAATAAAACTATGAGACTTAAGCAGAATTCGTACAAACTAATTGACCTAGCTACTACATTTTATCTTTTTATTTTAAAACATTTGTATTTTTAACTGACGATATATACTTATTGAACTGTAATTGTCTATTCCACACTGCAAACAAAACAGATTGCATACAGAATAAAGTAAACATTTGTCAATACTTAATTACTTTAGCATGTCTGTAAAGAAATGATAGATGTCTACATATATCAAGTAACATAACGATTGTTGCAAAAATGTGTACTGTATACAGCGGTTGTCTCGGAAATTACCAATCTGTTTTAGAATCACCAAGTATCAAGTTTACATTTTTAAATCCATTTCTTAATTTTACAAATTTGGTATTTTAGCACTCAAAGTGAATGTCAGCAACAAAGTCCTAAACTTTCGAATTTTCTAAAATAATCTTAACTATCGGAATTCTGCCTTAGTCGGTGCTGGGGGGGGGGGGCACGCACACATTTATAACCGTCGTCTTAACAAAAATTCAACCTGTAACCAGTTCATTTTTGCATTTTATGATTTCATTTCAATTTCTTATTAATATTCCCCTACTTCCGTCAAATAATGTAAATAAGCATGTAAATATATAAACTTTAAAGAAATATTATCACAATTTTGGCAATAAAAGTGTAGAAAAATGCTTATTTTCAAGACGTAACGTGCAACGAAGATAAATGTTAATCTTGGCATTCATAAATAATACAATTACAGGTCATGAACATGTCTTCGTGAGTACAAGATTAACGGAATGTGACATTTATTTTATAATAGTATTCATTTTATTATTAATTTAAATAATTGATACATGTATGTGTGTTAAATATTCAAAACATCATACAAGGGCTTATTGCTAAGTTGTGAGCCTTGTTTGTAAAGGTTTGCCTTTTGGAGGACATATTGCATTTACATGTGACTTTCTTTGTCTACATTTTTTGACTATTTAGAAAGTTATCCACAGTATGTACGAAGGCAGATGCATATTTTAAAAAAAAATACAGAAAGCTTGTTTTCAGGAAATGCCTTTTTTTAAATTTTGGAAACAGAGGAAAAACTGATGCATAGACAGCAGGCGAACATGTGAACAATCAATCAATCTAAAGCCACAATCTTATATGACTGCCATGATGATCAATTTGATTTAATCTCTTTTCATTGCTCTTGATTGTTATCTAACCTCCATATTTTATATAAAAAATATTGCTTTCTCATCCATTATGTTATATTTCAGGATACTCTCATGTTATTTATGGGAAGTTTGGTAGTTGCTGCTGCTGTTGAGAGATGGAACTTACATAAGAGGATAGCTCTCAGGGCGCTTACACTAGTTGGGCCGGAGCCAAGATGGTAACTTTCTATCATATATATCAGTCTTGTATGAGACTCATATGTTAACTGATTGTCTTTTGTAAAAATGTGTACGCACTCGCTTAGAAAAGAAAAATGAGACATCTTTCTTGATAATGTCAAACCTGTTTTTCAAAAAGCAAAAGTTACAGGTGCTCGAATCTTCTATTAGGTTTAAGGCGCGTTGGGGGAAATAAATGCCTTTGCTACACTGCGATTGACCAAATATTTCTAGTCTAGACCAGTAACTTCAATATTTAATCTTCTGATTCTTTTGTGTAAACTTGTCAAAATATCACGTGTAACAATACAATAATTTGACATAGTTCTCACAGGGTTTTAATACAGTAATCGCATTTATTTATAAGTGTTAGAGTGTTTGCAAGTAGGTGGATAGTTAAACACTGTTGAACTTCAGTACAAAAATTGGCTGAAACTATTGAAATAAAGTTAACGAAATCCAATCAGAAATATGGTCAATTTTTTGCATGCCAATTTTCAAGACGCTACTCGAAAGTTCGCAAAGTGTCGCGTTCTACCTTAAAGGCAGAGTTAAAGAAATTCACGTGCTACCATGCGTTATAGTACATGTATCACATTTCGTGCTTGCATTATTACTTAATTTTATTTGTCTATGTTATAGTTTAACTGAATGTCCCAATAAATTGCAATATATGGTTTATTACCATTATCACCATTATTCTAACGAATTGTTTTGTAAACTTGATTTGTCTATTGTTAACATTTTTTTTCCAAAAGTATTTCAAATATTGATTTAAATACTAGGAATGTATTATTTGGATATTATTATGTACTTTGTCTTGAACAAAATGTTGATAAAGTGATTTAGTATGAATGTTTATATAATGAATAAAACTATTTTGTTCTAGAACGATTTATTGTCCTGTTATATTATATATATGTAATATCGGATCATGTATATTACACTTACCAACAGCATTGTAATACTTCCGTTGTTGTTTTATATATGCTCCTCAATACTTAAAAATGATTATTATGATATGACAAACCTTCCATAACCATAGAACCAATTTATTTTAAGCAATGGCAAAGTCAATGTTACTTTTTGATCAACCCTCAAACGTCTGAAGTTCCTGCTTTTATATGCAAGGTCTATCGTACTTATTATTAGATAAAATGTGATAATAAACTGTCATTATAATTACTTATGAGAAGTACAATGACACTTTGCTCTTGTTTTGAAAATGTTAAAGCCAAAGAATTCGATTAAAATGCAAATATGATAGTAAAATTTATTAATATTTGAATATCTAATTTTGAACAAGATTATTCATGTTCTTTAAAGAAGATGTTAAACAGGTACATGCCAAAACTGAATTAGGTGATGGTGTTGAATAAAATCCTATTATACGAGCCTCTGAACCTAACTGTAAATACCGGTAATATATATGTATGATATTCCCGCATACTTACATACAGTTAAAAACAACTTGTGTTCCAATGACGCAAAAATACTTTAACACTAATGAACTCCGCTTATGAACTCATATGACGGTATGCACGGCTTTGCGACACGGGTACGGATACATTTAAAGAATGAAATTTGTTTTGTTTTTTCAGGTTGATGTTGGGAATTATGTTGCCAACGTGGTTTCTGTCAATGTGGATGTCAAACACGGCCACCACTGCCATGATGATCCCCATACTTAACGCCATTTTGACCCAAATCAGAGAGGTCAAAGAAAAAGGTATAATTATAATAAAACGTAGTAATTGATTCATTATATGGACTGTATGAGTCTTATATAAAAAAAGTTTAAAACCCCCAGTTAGTTAAAACTAACATATTTCAACTTCTGTATTTGTTGTGGCAATTTCCTAAAATTTTAGTGAAAAAATGCATTAACCAAATATTTTACTTAGTGAGAATGTAAATTAGCTTGTGATTATAATTCAGTAATTTAAAGACGTTTATATTGTCTGAGTCGTATTGATGTATAAAGGAAATAATGAAGTTTTAATTCTCATGTCTACAGGAACGGAATAAAGGTTCTTTAGCTTACAATTACAATATTAATTTTTGCAGTGATGAATTATATATCATACATAAATAATGTGATAGTAAATTAGTTATCATTGCAAATTGCCATCATCACTAAATATAATGTCTAGTAAAGGAGTTTGATGTAAATACTTTCATATAGAAAATAAATATTTAAGGAAAATAAGCTATCAAATATCAGGTCCTTAATGTTCATTCTTCTTCTCTGTTAAGTTTGAAATGGAACAAACCGATACCCAAGTAAATTCCAAATGGCATTATTTTGAAATGCAAGATAACTTTGTGGGCTTACCCAACTGTAGATTTTCCCATACAAATTAAAACTCAATTTTTAAACCTGCATAAAAGCTTATTGCCTGGACCATAGGATCATTATATATGACTATTTATATAAATTAAAAACATTTTAGTAAATGAAGGGAAAAGACGTGATAGTGATGACGAAACCACGTGTTTGCAAGAACCCCAGAACGGACATATTCCGAGTGAACCGCACAAACGCGATGTGAAGGTGGTATTAGAGATGGACAACATTCTAGAACCCGGACATCCTGTCACGTGAGAATTTATCCATTTGAATTCTATATTTGCACCTATTCCAGAAAGACGATATTTTTGTATACTGTGAAATTTAACTTTTGTTTTATGTTTTGGTGAAGGTACCCATAGACGAATTTACAATGAAAGTAAATCATGATTTTAAAGCTGAAAAGTACGCAAAATCATACTCTGTATATGACTTAGTATGTAACTATGTTTTAATAAAGTCAGATACGTATATATGTTTTGGTGAAATTATATAGGTTAAGTTCTTTCTTAAGGCGTATTAATGTCAACTTCGCATGCATATCCAAAAGGAGTGAAATTGCCTTTGTCTGATGAAGAAATATTGGGCGATTAAGATGATCAGATAAGTGTATGTTCTAAGACACAAATAAAACATTAAATGCAGAAAACGCATCATTACGAAATTACTTCCAGTCTAACTCAAATAATCCTTCTCAAGCAAGTTGATCCCCTCTTGTAGCTGCAGATAAATTGGAACGACTATTTTTACTATGAAATATGCGTGATAATGACCCAAAACATCGAATATGCTGAATATTTACCTTATGAGAAATAAAAAAGCATTGACCGTTTCAGACTTATTGCTGAAGGTCCAAGGTATAATTTATTTGTACACAAAACATTCTGCTCACCTTAAACCATTGTGATTATCATTTTAATTTTCGTTCTCTGTAGTTTTTTTGAACTGGTAAGAAATTATTTGCTTGAAATATTATTTAACACATTTGCGATTTTTTCCGAGAATGCATAAATTGCCTTTAGAATGCATATTTTGCTTTTAAATCTTTAATGGACACGCAAATCGAATATTTGCAAAATACATTGTATGAAATTTGTATGTTTATGCACGCAGAAAAATTATTTTAATTTCAAACACCAACTTTTTTGAAAATATATTTCTTATCGGATTTCTATAATTTATGTGTAACAGCAGCGGCAACGGAATTCCGCCTTGTTTGACCACATTGCAAATATTAAAACCATTAATGACATATTCTTGGCATGGTATGGTAGAAGTTAATCGAGATTCATAAGAAAAATATTCTATAATATAAATTATGTTATTCAAGTTGATTATGGCTGGGTAATGGATAATAAAGAGTGCTTGTTTTGGTGATAGACATTTACTCTGTATCAGTGTTAAATTGTGCATGTTCTTATACCTGTTATAACAAAGTGAAATATTTTCATTGAATTTGTTTTCAGTTTACCAATGCCGGTAGAACCACAAAGGTAACACATAATTGAACTCTCAAGATGTTTTTCTCTTCTTTCTATAGACCCTTTGACATTATACCAAGTTTGGTTTCCAGGTTTAATACCATTCTGTTAAATTACTTCTCAAAATATTTAACAGATGATATAGAAGAAATTGATATTTTAATATACTAGCAGATTAATGCTATACAGACACTTATATTTGGTTTGTTAAACCATTATCAAAACACATGCATTTGAATAGTTAAATAAAACATGCATATGCTATTACATTTTCCATCTGTTAAGTTGTTGTACCCACTTGATCCTGACACTTTATATGTTTGATTTGTGACCATTTATTTAGTCAGCTCCAGGCAACCAAGCAACCAAACAAACAATAAAAGAAGTAAAAAGAATTGATACGGTAGTGTTGAATGATTTTGATGCAAGGGTTGATAATTAAGCTGACGCGTTTTGTCTAATTCTGCACGCAGTACCTCCCACAGGCAATTTATTAGTCAAAGATTGAAAAGGAAGTTGACCTAGAAACCAAACTGATTAATTTGTCTATCTTTCGCAAAACAATGCTTAAATTCGTATTTATTTCCAAAGCAATGCTTATAACGTGCGGTCAGTATTTACAATCGTAGTCAGAAACGATACACTTCTATAATACTTGTATTTGCACTTATTTGTAAAAGGAAATTTTGCATTGTTTTTCTCTAAGAGTCTCTGTATGATGTGGTTTATTGAGTGATGCTAACCAGTCAATCTGTGTTTCTTATTCCTTAAATTTGAAATGCAGTGCTTGATTTCTTTGAATATTTGGAAGCATTTTGATTCTTCTTTTAGGATTTTGATTCTTCTTTTGATGATTGTCTCTCAAAATGGTTAAATTAAGTTATTCTGTCTATATTGTGACATCACCCTCTCTCCAATGATGTTGAACAATTTTATAGGTTTACCCTTTGATAACACGTGCATGTTTGAGTTGCACTAATGTTAAGTTTAATGTTATTATATTCCAGGTTGCATTTCTATTTGAACGTGTATATTTTAAAAGATCTGTTTGCAAAAAAAATGAAGTGATCCCATATAGTAGTTGGTAGTTTCAGATGTTTTTTATGATACAATAAAACAACAACCTTGAATTAAAGGACAGCTACATAATATAGACAGAATCAACATCACTTTCATTTTTTAAATATGCAAATTGGCTTTACTTGTAACTTTTCTCCAAAGATTCACAAGGACAGAGAGCAGCAATAGTTTAAATGCAGTTGACTTTACCTCACGGTCCATGTTAACACAGCCAGCCGAACACGCCAGGTGACTAACAGATAAACCATAATTTGATGACCTTACTTTTTTCTTTGACAGTGCAATCATGATAAAATTGTAAACGTTCATATAGCTTTAATCCAATTAGTGTTTAATCTTCAAAAGGAAAACTTCTCCTTTCTTAACCCTTAACCTGGCTGAACCGGAAGTAATTAGGCTTTGCCATCAGTATAGAACCAGGTCGAATTGCACGAGCAGTTTTACCAGGCTATATCCTGTTGGTAGCTCCGTATTTGTACGGACCATTACAAATTCAAAACCGGATGAATCCATTATGCAAATTCAGCAGGTTAAGTGTTAGTTTACGTAATAAATGATGTATTAAATTACACAATAAATGATTAATAAATTACATAATAAATGATGTAATAATTATAAACTATTAATAACGTGTCTGTCTGTGAGTGGATACTAATATATACCATAGTTGACTATTAACAAATGGGATTTTGGTTTGCACCAAATCATGTACACTATTGAAGTAACGTATTTATCAATGTATAATATAACAAACAAGTGACCTAATATATTACACATTTTCCGATGAGAAGGAACGAAATAATTATGCATAATTATTATACTCTTTCTATATATACATCTGCATTAACAATAAATTATATGTATTGGTTATAAGTTTTATTATTTAAAATTGTTCCAAAATCATTTGCCTGTTTTCTGCAATGATTAAAACATTTTTATGCCAAACATAATGTTAATCAGAAAATTTATAAATGTCCACTGATTTTGATAAGCATATACTACTGAATTCATGGTACTGATAATGTGATATGTATTTATTATAGAGCAGAGAACGTATCGTATGACAATGCTGGCAAGTCAGAAAACGAGAAGGAATATGAACAGCTGGCGAAAACGTTTGCTTTGTGTACAGCTTATGCTGCCAACAGTGGTGGTATAGCCACATTGACCGGTACTCCACCAAACATTATCCTGAAGGGTCAAGCTGATATGTAAGTATACAACTGCAGAGTGAAATTTGGACACATAGGAACAAAACACGTATTGCACTCACAAAACTTAACTGATATTGCAAAAGATAATGTTTATTTCAGCTAATAGGTATTGATGAAATAAGGAGAGTTTCTTAGCTTCTGGCAGTATGAATGAAGCATATTTTAATTTTATTCTTGTATAGCCAAACTAACATTCTATAGATACGTATATGTACATGTAGCAGAATTTAATGTTCATCTTTTTGATTTACAATGTCATAGTATATGTTTTTAACTAATGCAAACTATTGACAAAATTAATAATTTTAGTTATTTTGTTTCTTTGTGTCCACTTGATAGGCATGCTAGGAATTTGATCCTCTTTTTATTAATTTAGATGACATAGCTAAAGTCGTGGTGTTAACAAAGCTTTTTAAAATGCTAAGAACTGAAAACTTCACTAATATTTTGTATATATAACGTTAAACATATAAATAAGTTTATTGCTTTGAAAATTGTCCAAATGATATAAAGTTTTAATAAAAATAACTTTTTTATAGGTTTTAAAAGCCAAATCAATAATGTTTTTATATAACATAACGAAAGATATAAAAATACACAAGAATTCATAGATGCAACCTCATCAATAAGCAATGCTTGCTTCTATTGCAAGAGCATGCCTATGACCTCTTCAATCCGTTTCATTATTTACAGCCATTGCTCTGATTATATCAACTTTTCACAGACATTATCACATGTAAAAGAACACATATTTAACCGAATGCTTCACTCCAATGCGCCTCACACTCAATGCATATACTGCTTCATATATTTTGCTTTACAAATGCTAGAGTACGAAACAGCTTATTATCTAACATCTAAACAATTTATATCGGCTTTTATCGCTAGTATGTGTGCGAGTTATTTAGAATTGTACCGGCCATGTAACACAACAGGTAAGATTAAGTAAGAAGAAACAGTAGAAAATACTTTAGTTTGGTGATCGGAACAAAATAAACGCTTTTTGATAGAAACCGCTTTAAAAAATCGTAGGATTGTCTCGCCTGAAAGGATAAACTAAAGGAAAACGGATGCAAAACGCTTTGCAAAGATCAAAGGTACACAGCGATAAATACGTCAATAATATTAACAATATGAAATAGTCTCTAAATTATGAAATGAGATGAATGTTAGACGTTGATCGGACAAAAATAACAAACATTTCACAATAAGTTTTTATTTGGTAAATAATGTAACCCAAAGGAATGAACGGATTCGGGCTTTTTAAAGTAACCCTTGATGTTGTATCTTTCATGTTATTATTTTATTAATATAACTCAAGTCAGCTTTTGCATTTATATTGTTTTTGTGTGTGTTTATTTTTCTATAATACATATAGTTATTTTCTTTTGATAGTTCTGTTATTAACCATTCAGTACGTTTCTTATTTTTGTTTAAGCACGATTTTTACAATAGTAGTTTAAGTACATGGCTATGTTTTTAAAAAATAAATAAAAAGCTATCAATTAAGATTAATCATGCGCTTTCCTAGAGGAGAATATATATAGTTTTTAAATAAAGTAAGACTGGGTTGATCAAAATTATAAGAAAAAGCTTAAATGTTTGGTTCATAGCTATTATAGCTTTATTTATAACTAAATACAATGTTGTTAAAAAACATTTCAATATATTAAACAAGGAAGGGTCTTATACATTGTCGCATTTTTGCACCGAGGAATCTTTAATGCATATATATGTTTCGGTGATGGTAACACTCTAGTGTAACACATTGAGCAAACATTAACAAGTTAGTCATGTATTCTCAAATACCAAGACACAGAAGACAGTTTTGAAGGCACTTTATTTTTCTGCACATGAAAACGTGGCGTTTATACACCGCTTTTTCTGGCTTGGACGCTTTCACCGATGTATACTTCTTCACGTAAGTTGACATCAAAAGCGCTTCTTTTTATTGAAAGCCCCAGTCTAAATATATCACGAATTCTCTTACCTTCCAAGACCAATGTCGAATGTCAGCCGAGGAGAAAGAGCACACATTAAAAGCAAGACAGATAAAGAGTTTGAAGAATTGGCGAAGACTTTTGCAACCTGCGTTGCATACGCAGCTAGCTGTGGGGGAGTGGCCACACTGACTGGAACGCCCCCTAATATTATTTTAAAAGGACAAGCGGACATGTAAGTTCTGTATAAAATTTATCTCAATTTAGAAGTAAGGCTTAAAAGCTTAGGAAGATATAAAAGCAAAGTTCGGTTGCTTTTTGCTTGTTATTGAAAGGTAGGTTATGTTATGTGTAGTTGATTCTTTGTTTACATATGTGTTTGCATATGTGTTGGCAAAAGGGAAATGTGTGTATTTGATTCAATTTCCTGTTCCTGCACGTTGTTCGCCAGCCTTTTTGCAACTAATAGCAGTTCTGCTTTATATGTTATTGCTCTATCAATATAATGGCTACAAAACATTTTTTTTCAATATTAAGCTATTTGTATAACAGATAAAATAACAAAAAGCATGTCATCTCTTCTCAACATTTCAAAGCATATGTCACTTAATATTAATAACAACATAGACTCTACATCTTTATAGTTGAAATAATTTCTACTTATATTTTTTTTATATTTTAGTTCGGTGTATTTTTTTTATAGTTGACACGTTATTTTAGTTTTTTTATATAAAATAATTTATATCATTTAATGATTATGTATGTCTTGGAATGGTCTTAAAATTTAATCATAATTTGCGATATGAAATGAAATGGCATATACATGTATATAGTATTCAGTTTAATCTCACAGTGCTTCTGTCAATTACAGTTTATTTTATCAATGTTTTTATTTTCACATATATGTCAACAAGAAAATGTCATTGTCTTTTCAATTATATATTTATTTCGTGAGATGATTTGTCTGTGTAAATGTGCGCTTTCGAAAATTTAATTTGTTCACTTTGTTTTCGTTGCTTATATTTTTTGTAACGTAAGAAGGAATACGTGTAAAGTTTAATGCTAACGTTGGAACTTACATCGTCCATTTCAAGATATCAGGACGAACATTTAAAGTTCATAGAGCCTCGACAGCCTGCACTGACCTGATGACAAAGGCAAATGTCAGGTTTAGTAGTACATAATATGGTGATCAGACTTGTTTAAAATAATAGTTATAAAAATGTTGGACAGGTCACATAGCTGTAAACGGTTGTAACATAACCAGGGCTGCTAGGAAATGGTAATACAGCAAACAATTGTTTTACACCCGTCATCATTCTTCATTCTCATATTTGAATAAAACGTTAAACATAAGTTTGTTGTATATATTTTTAATATAAACGGCACTATGATTCAATGAAAATCGGCGTAAGAAAAGGTGAAGTATTATAATATATAATACCCTGATGTGTCTTTACACACATATATACATCTGTAGAAAAGTGACGATTTTTTTACGTTAGGTATAACACGATGTCATATAGCATCGTTCAGAATATTTGGCATTTAAAGTAAAATCAAGGCGCCACTTGACACCCTTATTTTGTTTCTTTATTGAGAAAGGGCAAGCATGTGTTTTATTATGTTGTAATTATGGATTTAAAATATTTTACATGGCTATCACTTAAATTAAATAGCATCAAATGAGAAATCGTTTTTGAGAATGGTGTCAAAACGTAATCAAATCAGTATTTTGACTTCCTTAAGATTACGAAATCACTTAAACTGTACTAATTGCAAACATACAAAAAGAGCAAAGGATAGCTTAGCTGTATGGCCAATGAGTAATGTTTTGAAACTGTAGCAGTACATAACGGCTAAGTTGAACGTTAGGTTCTCTTATTTCAAGTCTAAAAGTTCATGAATAAAGATTATGTTGGCAACAATGATGTTTCAATTACTTTTTTTAAAGCATTATTCTTCTCATCGAATTCCTAAGTAAATTGTTAATACAAAATTTAAGTTGGTAAGGACCTTAACTAAATCCACATGTTTAAATGAATCTTTTTAAAAAATAATTTCGTGCATGTGCGCATAATATGTTATTAGAAACTTGATACAGAGATTATTCGATATAAAGATATGCATAATTTTAAATGCAAATTACTGATGTATTGTTTTGCTGTAATTATATTCCAGTCTTTATGGCGAATATGATATGCCATCGGCTATAACCTTTGCCAATTGGCTTATTGTCGGCATTCCACTTTCTCTAGTCGTCTTCATCGCAACATGGATATGGCTTCAGGTTTACGCTCTTGGAAAAAAGTAAGTGTTCTTAATTATGTTAACTGGACATATAAAAGAAACCAGTCTGCATGTTTTAATAATCGGTTAACATGTTGTATTATGGACTATTTGTATGTCTTGTCTCGAACAGTCCTGAAAGTAGTAAGAGACGTTAGCTTTCGAGACTTAGTTTTGTATAAGTAGGGTCGACATACATTGAATTATTTTCCGGCGGTCCACTGGCATCCACTAAATAAGTTATATCTTTCACTAAAAACGACTTTATTTTATGTTAAATTTAAAGCTGCACGCATCCAGATGAGCCAAACTTTTTCAAGAAATTCAATCTTTATAAAAATGTATTAAGATCTTAAGAAAAGTAAAAATATTCAATATTTAATTAATTAATTACATGTTATGTGCGATTAATGACTGATTTTGCAGTATCAATCACTATAATTCTACTGGGTAACTATCGCAGTAAGTGGTGTTTATGTATGTTCTGACCTTGTTTTAGGCAATTTACTTGGATTGTAAGTGCATTTGCGATGTGTAAATTACTTTCTTTATTCACTTCACAATATATTACTTTTTAATACAATTTCAAAATTTTCATGAAAGGTTGCATGAATCTGGAGGCATGCTGCTTTAAGTAACAAAAAAAGGAATAAAGAGATGAAAAGTCTTATACAATATTATTTTTCCTATAGATGTTTGTGTTGTGTAAAATCAGATGAAGATTATAGTGCAGTAAAAATTCACCTCAAGCACGAGTATCACAGGCTTGGTCCTATGAGGTAAGTGAATAATAACGTGCCTCTGGATAAGAGCAATTCTAGGGTTAAACTGTTATATGTTGTATGTCCTTCTTTATTTCATATTAGTTACTGCAGTTTTGCGATCAACCATCGAATAGTTTTATTTTGTTCTGGCAGTATTGATGTCCATAACAACTGGTTCTATAATTTAAACAATATGAGTAACTTTAAACTTGTCACTTAATATAATCTACTGTAATAATTGTCGACAGTGCTGAGTAAATGCCTCTAATAATGACTATCGTGAAAAGGAAGAGCAATGAAATCAACAAGGAAAAGTGAAAATTTAAGGCTCAATTTGACGAGAGAAAATTAAAGGTGCAATATTTCGAACACACAGTGGTGTAACCGTCTTTTGCATTATGTCATCTTCAACGTAATAAAGGAAAGGAAGCGATTATCGCGAAGGAATAGAAAAAAAGCAACAGCACTGTTCCTGAAGAATATTGATTGCACATGATATTGCAATGATAACATCATACAATTATTGCATTTGGCGAGGAATGTTCTACTTAAAATATTTGACTTTGTTTTGTTGAATAATTATGCTGCGTCTTAATTGATATATCAACAATTTTTCAGAACAAAAAAAGTTGTTAATTTATTTTTTAATTGCCACTATTCTATGTTTTTCACTACATGCAATAATATTTGTTTAAAATTCTAGCTTTGCAGAGAAAGTAGTCCTTATAGATTTCATTGCATTAGCTCTGTTATGGATCATGCGAAACCCTGTGTTCATGCCAGGTTGGGGCAAACTCTTTCGAGAAAGGTAAATGAATAAATCTTGTTTACTTACATATTAACTTTTCTGGCTTTGAAGTTGTTAAAAATATTTCTGAGGTCTGTCTCAAATCCCGTGATTATCATTGGTCAGTCTGCATTTGAGCCGCGTCACGACAAAACCAACATAGTGTGTTTGCGACCAGCATGAATCCAGACCAGCCTGCGCATCCGCGCAGTCTGATCAGGATCCATGCTGTTCGCTATCAGTTTCCCTACTTGTAATAGGGTTTGTAAGCGAACAGCATGGATCCTGACCAGACTGCGTCGCAAACCCATTATGTTGGTTTTGTCATGACGCGGCTCATTTTATGACCTCTCAAATGTCTGAGGTCTGAGTTTTAGCAGATTGAATTTCTTTATTACCTCTATTACCTCGGACCCTGAATTATACTATTTATACACATCTTTATCTATTGCTGATTTATTGTCAACTTCGTACTCGTTTGCATAAATGTGCATACATGCATTTCAGAACTTGAATTAATAAACAATATACAATGTACATTGAGTGACATATAAAGAGAAGTAGGAATTTCTTCATAATTGTTTGCAACTTAATATTAATTAAGAAAAAAACTTAATTTAATATTTTTAGACATTTTGATTAAGGACTTGCACGGCAAAGGGAACTTGTTTAACTGCCAAACAAAAAGTTTAAGATTAATTAAGATTAATAAAGACTTAGTGTTGAAATATGGTAAACAATATCAACAAGGAAATGTGGCGTTCAATGAATCCTACTTGTAGGCATTTGTTTGGTAGCAGACATAAATAAAAGTACAACAGGCCCGAAGATGCTTATAATGTTACTGTTTTAGTGCTCTGAAAGGCACTCTTGATTAATGTCCTTTAACTGCATTATACGTATATTTCTTAATCTGCAAAATATGTATTTATTCTGTATTGCAAGTATTTTATCTGCACAAAATGTATTTTATTTGCATTATATCTTTTTTACCTGTATTATAAGTATTTTAAATGCATAATATGTATTTTATTTGCATTATGTGTATTTTATCTGCACTATATGTACTTTATTTGCATTATTTGAGCCGCGTCACGACAAAACCAACATAGTGGGTTTGCGACCAGCATGGATCCAGACCAGCCTGCGCATCCGCGCAGTCTGATCAGGATCCATGCTGTTCGCTCACCAACTCTATTACAAGTAGAGAAACTGATGCGAACAGCATGGATCCTGATCAGACTGCGCGGATGCGCAGGCTGGTCTGAATCCATGCTGGTCGCAAACCCACTATGTTGGTTTTGTCATGACGCGGCTCAATTATTATGTATTTTATTTGTATTATACTTCTGCAGATACGTGCAGGATTCTACAGCAGCTATTTTCATGTCAGTAATCTTGTTTGTCCTTCCAAGTGAATTACCCTTTCTTAAGAAAAAAGGTTAGTTATACTTTCAAATAGACAATTTGTATACAATATGACAAATAACAGTACAATATGAAAACCAAATCAATAAGGGAGGGCGGCATTAAATGAAGGCAACCCCTAACACGGGACCACCGTCAAGGATCTCAGCAGGACACCAAACAGGGCAATGCCTGCTTTATATGATCAAAATGTAGACGGGATATTTCGATTATATTATAAATGTTCGCCTTTCGTCAGTGGTTCTGTATTTCTTTAGATAATTTTTAACATTATTTTGTCCAAATGTTTATTTCTATTTTGTTACTTTTAATGATTTTCTTGTTTCTCTTTATTGACCTGTATTGATGTTAATGTTTTTTGTACTTTGGAATCAGCTAACTTCATTAATAAATCAATGTAAATCTGAAATATCAGATAATAGGCTACAAGAATTACCGTTGAAAACTTGACGATATGTTTATTAACTGATATGGAAGGTAGTCCATTATCAGCTTGTGTTGAAGTAAATCACTAGTTACTCCCCTTTGTTGTATTTGAGTTCAAATGTTCGTTAGTAAACATCGGAATATTATATTGTACATGTATATCAATATGTATTTTTAAACGCATGTGTTTTGTGTTTTAGCTCAAAGAACTGACGAGTTGACGGCAACACATCCGTACATTCCACTGTTGACATGGAAATATGTAAATGATAAGATGGCATGGGGAGTTCTACTTCTGATGGGTGGAGGATTTGCGCTCGCTGACGGCTGCAGTGTTAGTTCATTACATGCATTATTAAAACAATGCTAAAATATGTTTGCACGTCCACCGATGAGTCAAATGAATATTCAAAACATCAAATAAAAGAAAATTATATCTGTTGAAGAAATATATTAATTTATATTTAATCCCGGTGTAACTGTGAATAAAACAGAATTTACTTTTTAATCATCAAACTTCGACCTTTCTACTTACAGTGTATGATTTATTTCTGCAAATTTAAACAAGTTAAGGCACTTTCTGTGGGGACGTGTGTGCCATGCGCTAGGATATATCACTAAATTTACACGATTTACTCTCATAAAAAGTAACACAAATCGGTGAGCGTGCTGTTTCAAAGGCTTCATTTAGCCGCAAATAAAGAAGTGCTCTTTCCGGGAAAGGATTGTAAGACACTCAAACAAAACGAAATTTGTGAGAAATTTACCAAGTTTCATAGTAATGAAAGTAATGCGAAATACAGATCTGTAAACTAATGTTTAAAAACATGATTAAGTAATTGCATATGACAATGTATGTGCGTTTATTTATTTGGATAAAACAACAGACCAGTTTATGTGGTCTTTATGTATTTATTTTGTATTTATAGTAATGGCTAATAAATTATCTGAATTTTTCAGAAATCGGGTTTATCAGAATGGTTAAGTGAGAAGTTGACAGTGTTTGCAGATTTACCTGAATGGTTAACAGCTGCTCTATTAGCCTACATTACCGCTGCTATAACTAACGTGACCAGTAACGCTGCTACTGCCACTCTCTTCTTACCCATTGTTGGAAGTCTGGTGAGCACCTGGTCATCTCAAATTAACATTACGATATTTAGATGGGCTTGAAGCCTTGTCAATAAGTGTCCTTCTAAATTTGTACATGTATTCATAATGATTACAAAACAGTGAGTTTCTAGTCAGTAACTAATATTCTTTAAGTATGACTCTGTTTAATGTTGTTTTATGTGATTTCCCGTCTACATATGGAAGTTTTTGCTTCAGTAATTTTCTGTAAGTTGCCAACATAACATCTGAAAGCTTTGTCCACTTTTTTTATTTTTGTCCATTAACATAACGTTATTTTCGTTAAAGAATGGAATAAAGAAGCACAATGTAATATTTAATTTCATACATTTGACAGCTATTTGAAATCAATTGAAGTGTAAACCATCATTTGCATTATCTTAGATAATTTGTTTATATTAACAAGAAAGAAAAGCGGTAGTGTTCTAGTGGTACACTCTTTGACTTCAAATCCAGGGGTTACAAGTTTGATTTCCAGCTATTCAAACTTTTCGAGGTCCAGTATAATGATGTTTTCAACCGTTGTCTCCCATTACTAGTTACCGATAGTCTTATGCGGTGAGTGGTATATAGTAATTACCGATGGCGACTTTTAGATAAACGTATACAACATAAAAACATACTTTTACAAATTGAACTGATTTTTATCTTACTATTGTTTTGTGTTTCAGGCAATTCGTCTGGCTGTTCATCCTCTGTATTTTATGATACCATGTGCAGTGGCTGCCTCATTTGCCTTTATGTTGCCTGTTGGTACGCCTCCTAATGCAATTGTTTTCTCAACTGGATACCTCAAAGTTTCTGACATGGTTTGTATTATATGTCAATTTCTATCAATTCCTAATAATGTATTTTCTGTTACTGCACAAAGGGAAGTAAGTAAGATTTTTTTTATATCGGAGGACTTTTCTTTGAGTAGGACACCTAATATTTATTGCGAAGTACTGGTCGGGTCAAAGAATGGATTTAAAAGCATGTCTTTTAGCTTAACGCTACCAACAGTTTCGGACTTAATGCCATGATGTACATGTTTTATCCATTCATAGTAAGTTTAAATATGCAGGAGAACGGGAAAGACCCGACCCTGATAAATGGAACTCGTACATTTCATATTGAAATATCGGAATCATTTTCTGGATGGAAAACCGAACATTTAAAGGCACTTTGACACCAATTAGAAGCTGGCACGGCTGTACAGTATTGGTTCAACATTTTGTGTTTTCTGAAATTCTTTAAACTTTAAACTTACTTTTTCAAATTAAAAGCTGGACAAATACATTGAAAACATTTAGCAAATAATGTGATGAAGAGTTAGATAAAGTATTTTTCTTTTTCCAGATGAAAGCTGGATTTGTGATCAACATTGTATCAGTGCTGATACTGTGTCTAGCTCTCAACTCGTTCATCTATCCTGTATTCGATCTGGGCAATATACCTGAAAAATTCATGAGAAATAACACGGCAGGGATCACACCAGTTATAACTGTAATAAATAGTACATTAGGCTATAATATCACCAATGTAGGTACGTGAGTAGAAGATAAGTGAAGAGTAATGAGGGAATAGGATATAAACGAAAAACAGAGAAAGAACTGTAGAAGATGTAACAACGTAAACCAATCAACACCTCGCTTTACTATGGACTATAATTTGCCCTTTATCTTCTCGAGAAATAAAGACTTAACAGGTCAAAGATGTTGTATAGAAATGCAAATCAACGATTGACTTTAAACTATATAATTGATTAGTGACATTCGGTAAAGAAAATATTTAGAAAATAATAAAAGTTGGAACAGATGATAAATCCATGACAAACTGGCTTCGTTAAGTAAACAGATAATCATGTTTATATATATATAGCATTAAGGTCGAAACAAGATGAATAATGTGTATGGAATCATTACACCATGTTCGGAGAAGTGTGAAAATAAGGCGAGCCAGGTCCATGACATCGAAAAAAACATTTTCTATGAGTTTCATCATTTATAACACAACAGTTTTTGTCATTTGCGTCAAGCATTTGTTCTGATCACTGGTCAAGAGGGTTTACGTCTTCATTAAAAATCGTTAAAGTTTTGCTTTATTGATTGCGTTTATAATTCCGTCAACGACTTTGTAAGAATCATCTTTTTCTTTCTGAGAGGCATTAAAAAGTTTGTCTGATATATATGAATGCAGTTAAGGATTTTATCGAAATCAAATTATGTAATGGCCTTAAGATAATGTTTGAGAATTATAATAGGTCTGTATGTGATCAGAACATCATCGGAGTCTTCATATAATATTCTCAGTGTTAGTTGATTAAAGTATTCGTCATTTATGTTGGAATTGACAAAGGTATAAGAAGTAAAGACCATGTCATGTTTACAACGTTATTTCATAACTTCAATAACTGATGTAATATGGCTTTGAAGGGAGAAAGTTTGCATTTATATACAACTGCACGAGGTGGCGCAATAAAGATGAAAGAAACATCTCATCGGTGGAGGGTTAAAGTCATAAACTTCATGTGTGGAAGGTCATTTTCTCTTAACACTGTTAAACAATAAATATGTGATTGAGTGAAAATGATATTTCTGTTTATGGATTGATAGTGCTGATAATGTTAGACACGAGTTATTTAGAAACAAATGAGCCGCGTCACGACAAAATCAACACAATGGGTTTGCGACCAGCATGGATCCAGACCAGCCTGCGCATCCGCGCAGTCTGATCAGGATCCATGCTGTTCGCTTACAAACTCTATAACAAGTACAGAAACTGATAGCAATTGGTTTTGTCATGGCGCGGCTTAAATAGTCTTAGTTTAATTTAGTCAGTCAAATAGTTGTTTGTTTATCTCAGGAATTATTTTCATTATTTGTAAAAACAAATAAAATGATTGTAACCAAGTTTTATAGTTGTATAATCCAGAAAAGGTTTTATGTATGTGCTATTTACATTAATATTAATACTGGCGTGAAAGTGACAGTACTGATTTTCCATGGTAACCGCTTTTAGTTATTTACGGTAACATGGGAGAATATGAAGGTAATACATTACAGTTTACTTTCCGAGAATATTTGTTTTTAATCTTTGAATGAGGAACGCTATTGTGATACTGATGTATCAAAAACATGTATTACGGATATGTCAACTATTTTGAAATCTGTAAGCTATGCATTTTTAACATCAAATCTCTTTGGCATTTAAAGTTCATACAGGGAAAATAAATTGTATACATGTATGTTTGGCAGTATCGAAGACTGTAAGAAGTGTCAATAATCTTGGTAAAATATAAAGTGTAGATGGTTGTGCATTTGAAATCAATGATAGCTATTCTGTCTCTTTTGATAAGAAAAAAGAAACATGTTTTGACTACATACATAGAATATATGTATATATATTATTGTTAAACACAGTATGAATACACAATATCATTAAAAAAATACTGGCAAGTTATTTACAGGACCATGTCAACTTGACCAGTAAAAGAGATTGCAGCTTCCAAAACATAGTTTGAGCATTCTTTTATTCAAATTAGACATTACCTGTATTAAATAAATTTCTGCAATAAATTATTTTCCCCATAAAAGAGCATTTTAAAACATAAGTACGATTTGAAATTTATATACATTCGCAGATTTAAATTAATTCTGAGAAAAACATATTTTATTTCTTTCAGGACAAACAAGTAAATCAGATACATGTGTGTTCATGTGCACTGAATTAACTTTACCATCAATATAGTTTTATACCGTATATTACAAACAGTTTACTATTATTTCTATGTACATCTAGTTGTTAATGGGATATATACAAATAACAATGTTATATTGAATGTTTGTTATTATATAATTATGTTATTTATAATTGAGCCGCGCCATGACAAAACCAACATAATGCGTTTGCGACCAGCATGGATCCAGACCAGCCTGCGCATCAGCGCAGTCTAATCAGGACTCATGCTGTTCGCTATCAGTTTCTCTATTTGTAATAGAGTTGGTAAGCGAACAGCATGGATCCTGATCAGACTGCGCGGATGCGCAGGCTGGTCTGGATCCATGCTGGTCGCAAACGCACTATGTTGGCTTTGTCATGACGCGGCTCGTATAATGACTGGTGTTATTCATAATAGTCACGTGTGACGACAGTCTGTTGTTTTCATTCAGTAATCTGCTTAAAGCATTCCACTGACGCTTCTTTTACTTGACGGGGCTGAAATATTATTTTTTTTTTTTTTTTTTTTGCTATGTGTGTACTATTTTATATAGATCTGGACCAATGACTTGCGTTCATGCATATATATTAAATGAAACTATAAAAGCAACTTTTTCATCTACTTTTTTTTAAAGGATTGAAATTAAAGTCTCACCCCAATTGATTTCCCCGTTCCTGTTTACTGACCATGTGGATGCCGTATGTTAAACGGTATTGCATGGCTGCGTTCCGTAAACTTTGCTGTCATTAGATGATTTGTACCCTCTCATATCTATTTATTTAAATTCAGTGGAAAAAAACTTGCTGCCGCTTTATCACAAAATTTTTAATTAATGTTAAAGAAAATTAAAAAAATGAAAGCACATTATTGAATGAAAGTTACTGACTTTAATTGCATACCATTTATCTTAATACAAATGCATATTGTTCTGTCCAAACATTCAATTACAGATTACATTTGAAAAATAAATCTAAGATTCAACACTTTGTTCAAACATGAATATACATATTAAATATCTCTATAAGTGTATATGTTTGCACTGAATATAAGAATATCAGTATTGTTAATTATGTATTATAAGGTAATACACTAGATTTGCTCAAATGCTCTTCTCAACTGAGAATTTATCATTTTCATTCATGTTCACTTATGAAGCAGTTCTAGAAACTTATCTTTATCCCAATCGAGTCTGCCTCCAGAAACAAAATTGTTGGTTTGTCACGTGAGTAAAGTTCGCTATGGGCTCGAACCCAAGCTCCTGTACAACTAAACCATTGCTTTCCTGGTAAACATTTATTGTGAGTAAATGTAGAATTTGTCGAATGTGTTAGCAATAAATATTGTTATAATATTATCGTGGAGAGAGTCAGTTTTTGCAACACGTTTTTATGGTATTGATTTATTTTGTTTTGTGAAAGATCGTTACCTACATAATTTTCTGAAAAAGGATTCCCAGTAAAAGCAATCGACAGTTTACATTACAATAACGATATCGTCCACATTAAAGAATATACAATGAACCTTGCTTGCTTTGAAAACATTTATGTTTTGCTTGTTATATTTTATTAATATTTAAGACATATCAATTTTTATTTCAGCCATTCTTATTATTTTGTAAAAAACTTGCAAGGTATACTTACTTTTAATGAGGACATAACACGAAGTTTAATTGTAGAATCGATTTTATTAGATTAAATAATGTTTTTATTTTTCGTGGTTGTAAAATTTCGAGGCAGCTCCAAAGTGGGAAAATCAATGCAATTTATTGATGTCAATTGAATGTTTATTATTGTTTCATATATGTCAGCTAAGTAGCATGTACATTTTAGATATATTAGTGTAAAATTCATAATGGATTTATATTAAATGTGCTTCTTTTGTATGTCATCATCATCATTATCATCATTATCATCATCATCATCATCATCAGTTCTTGTATGATGAAAGTTGCAGACAGTTGTCACACTTTTTCTTCTTTTTTTATAATCATGTCAGTTGATTTTAACAAATATTTATCATCAAGTATTTAAGAGCGCAAAGTGCTATTTCCCACTCAATGGTTATCAGAAGTATATATGTGTTTTCTTGATAGGTATATACAGGGGCTTATTCTCGTGTTTTTGACGTCGTTTTTACTGAATAATATATCTGAAAACAAAAACAATTGCAATCATTTCACATGTCTTTCATTCAATATCGTTCATTGCAATTGATATCTGCAACGTTTTATACACATTTTCATAACTAAACTATCTTGCTTCAATTTTTTTTGGGGGGCGGGGGGTAAAAATGATATATATCATCAAAATTAAATTAGGGGAGTATGAAACAGAATAGTAAAAAAACATACTTTCATGCATGTTTGTTGAACATTTTTTTCACATTTTTGGATTTTTATTGTGTTGTTTATTTAATTTTGTCTTTATTCATTAGGTCAGAAAGACAGTCAGTTACACATTTAAGAAAAAGAAATTAGAAAAATTCAAATCAGGTTTCATTTAAAAAATCACTGTTCTGACAAACTTAAAGTTAAAGGGCTTTCATATGGAATGACATGTATAACAGTAGAAAATGTATTCTTTATTTTGCTTAGATGTGCTTTGAAATGGTGAACGCGGCTTATAAACATTTCAGGGAGACCTTTGCTGTTAGGAAGATTTTTGCTGTTTCTTTTTAAGAACTATGACTATACAGCTTAATAGTACTTGTATTATTTACTAGAAAGGTTTTACTTCTTTACACCTGGGCGTCATAATAGATCAGCTTGCCCCAAGATTTCACTTTTATAAAAATGAAAATTGAAGATGAAATAAATGTCAAAAAGTTGTTCAAATCATTCCAATCTGATGCATTGGTCAAAGGAACTTAATATAGACCAATTTAGAACACCCCCTCCTCACATACTTTAATGACAAGAGCTTAGATTTTTAGTATGTAGCATCAACCCATGGTATTGTACAAAAGTTCTGTGATGATGCCCACAAGGGTAAAATTGTTGCCCTTCCGTGCGGGTCAATTAGTTTATTAAGCTTATATTATTAAAACACCTACAGGTATATTAGTCTGATCTTATTTATAGTTAGCTTTATGTCATGTAGCATTTCTAAGCGGTCATGCACAACATTTAACGCTTCATTAATAACGTAACATGGGTTAAAATGACAACCCAATGTGTGCCCTTCATAGCTTCTGCATTGAAGAATTGCGGCTTTTTATAGCAATGCATATCAGTTGAGCGATGGACCTCTTTGTTTTCTTTGTTACGGGAGATTCCTGACGGACCAGTACTGAATAGAGCACATGGCGACATCCAGTAGAATAATGTTAAATGTTTTATTGACGATAAGATCTCCCCTATAGTAAATTATAGGATTGCTCATCTGGAGGCATGCTCCTTTACAATGCTCATTTATTCATGCTAACATACATATTTGCGAAAAATTTCTGGTTAAAGGTATTTAAAACATAAAATAAATACCGGTCTCGAAATTGTATCTTCAGGGATATATCGAATATGTACCTCTTAATAAGTATAAAAGTGTGATCAAAGTGTTTTGTCATTGCGTTTATCACAAACATAGGGTCATGTACACATTTTATTCTTGTACGTTTTTGCACACGGGTTTCACTTATGGCGGTGTTCCAGAGTAGTCGGAATTCACTTTAAACATCCTGCTTCGAAATTCTCAACACGATATGTGTGTTGCATTAAAAATTTACTGATATAGAAACATTTTTTTATATCATCATTTTATAATAATCATACAGATTTAAATACCATACATATTTGCTTTTTTGTGTGTCTGTTTTTTTTCTTAGTCAAAGGTGCTTTTTGTATCATATGTAGATGAAGGAAAGGAAGCTATGCACTGTTTTCTTTGCTTCAACAGTAAATAAACAGATTTTTTTTCAGATATTCAGCAACGATTTCTTGAAAAAAGGTTTTTTTTGGGTGTAGAAGTGTTCCATGTCCGCTCTATTGTTGATCTTTATTTTCATATTTCAAACAATTTTCTTTTATATTTAAATCATTACACGTGTTATAAAGCTGTTATGTATGTATGTGTTGACGCCTTATCATGTTAAATATGAAAATAAAGGAATTTAGAAAAGATATGATGTTGGTAGTCAATATGGTCTATCTGCTAGAGGAGATATTAAAAACAAGTAACACAAGTATCTTTTTTTCCAAATTTTGATTATTTTTATACTATCATAGTATCCATATAGGTTAAGGTATCACATTGTATTTGGGTCAAAATCATAGTTAAATAGAAGAAAGTCTTCGTAGTAAGCGTCCTGAACTTTTAATAGTACTTCCGGTGTTACTGTCTTCCAGTAATATATTTGCCAGTTATGTCTCTGAGTATTTCTTTCTTGTGACGTCAGAGGTCGCAATTCAGATGCCTCTGAAACGAGCTTTGTTAAAGATTTTTCAGTTTCAGACGCTGAGGAACTTTTAAACTCAGCTGCCGGAAAGTGCAAGTCATTATGAATATAACCTTGAATTTGAAATGCTTTCCATATTCTTTCTGCTATTTGTATTTCAGTTATGCACCCTTTACGTATCTGCGTACGATCATGTGCTTTTGTGACGTATGTATGAACCAATGTAGACAAAGAATGACTGATATAGTTTTCCTTTAAAACACGATCAACTTCGTCTCTTGTCGTCTGCTCAACGCCTGTCACGTTTAAGATATATTCCGCATCCTCATTAAATGTTTCGTGCTTTGCTAACATATCTATTTTTGTATCACAAGGTAAACATATTGAAAATATCGGTGCCCAGTGCAAGTCATTGGGCATTCGTCTTATCGTATTTCTTGAAACTGTTCGCAGAAATTCGTCAAAAGTGACGTCATTTCCGCATCTTTTTCGGCTTCCTTTTTCAGTTCCAAAAATCATGAAGGATGCCACATACCACTTATTTGGCAAGAATATTTGATCTATATATGACGAAAACAATCTCGAATACGGGTTTCTTGCAACCATAAAACTCGTGAAGTTGTTTATCCGATCATCCTTCAGATCCATCGTCAATTCTTCATGTTCTTTGATTTGATCATGTGATTCATCCCTTGGAACATTAAACAATGATTGTCCATCTTGTGGCTTTATCCCTGCGAGCGTCATAAATACTTGCGTCCAGAACGTGCTTCCTACCTTTGCGACGCGGCAATAACTAAGTTTGTATTTTTCAGAAATATAAAATACATTTGTTTTTAACATAGCTACTAATCGACGTCTTTTGGGGTACTGGGAACAAAAACGGTGCATATGTGCTATACGTTCTTTCATTTCATCCGCCTTGTTTAAAACGATCCTTGGTCCTGAAATAATGTGAATAGATCGTATCAAAATACAGTTTTATTGGCATTTGGTTTGTCAAATGTTTCGTTTCAAGTTTTGTATGTACATATCAAAAAGAAGCGTTTGAAGATAAAAGGGTTTGTTGTTTTAGTGATATAAAATCCAGACACAAATTTTGCCAGATTTTCGGGAAAAAAAGAAAGAATTAAAGAAAAGCCATGTTTAAATCATTTGTTTTTGTAACAAAAGAAAAGATCAAATAAAACAAATTCAATGTAATATAAAAAAACGGTACATTTTGTGAAAACGAGCTGTTATATTTTCTCCCATACTTATAATTTCTTTGGAGTCAATCAGTGAGATAATTGAAAAAGACAAACATGTGGAAAATTAGAAAAGGAAACAGCAAATCAAAATCCAATAAAATGGAAATTCAGCCAAAAAATACCGTTCGTGTGGTTTATTATTTTGCGTCATTACTCCAGCGCAAAGTGATTCAGACTTGCCAAACATTATGAACATTTGTGAAAAACAAAGTAGGCGTTAAGTAATATATAATGGAATATAAAAAAGGAAAGAAAACAACTTACTTGGCAAAGGCACAACAACTTCCGGCTTGACGTTGTTGGCTTCTAAAAACATCTGGTATCGTAGATATGTTGTCACTGTCAGCAAAAATGTTAGTACCACCAATAAAACAAGTTTCTTCAATTTCAGCCTCAGCATCGTAACTATGACCACAATTTTAAGTTCAAGTTTATCCAGCGTTGGAATTTTAAAATAACTAAATCTTCAGCGTGCTTTGATTTTGAAACTTAATATAGACACCCGCATTATATTCTTGCCTAATATAATATCTGATTTTTTAAATCTATTTTCTGACGCAAATCCCTCAAACTTAATATTTGTTTTACATTATGATACAATATGCCAACTGAAATCCCCTCAGCACTTAAAACTTAGAATTTCACAACCATAACGAGTTTCGGTGTATTAACGGTATGGTTTCATGTCTAAAATAAACCTTTCTTAGTTTTTCTTTTTGTTTCAATGACTTTTAATACTTTCTTTAATTCGCCGTATTAAATCCCTATAATTAGCATTCGTTTAACTTTTGTGTAACAATATTGAGATTTAAACAGTTCCGCACATACATGTATAAAATCACATTTAACATACACTTGTATATTTTATATCAATGAAAACAACATATCATTCATTCACTGTTTACATCTATGCATATGCAGACCTCAATTTTTTATAGGTATTTCAAATTAATTTTATTTATTGATTTTGTCACAGATAATTACATTGTCTTTATCTTTTTATCAAATCATACCCTTGGGGTTGAGAAATATAAACTAGTGACAAAAATGACATGAAATGACCAGTTATTTGTAATTGCCTTTACAGTTGTCTCGAAAAAAGAATGTGTATTCTTTAAACACTATTATGACTATATTACATTAAATTACAATTTTTAAATTTCTTTATAAAAATTAAAAAAGCAATGTAAAATTAGAAAACCAGCATCAACTACCTATTGACTAAGTTATAAGCCAAAATTAGAAAATACATAATAAATTAAATGAAGAATTACAATCTACAAAATTAATAAAGTATTTTGGAATTCATGCTTATGAATGTCTATTTAGTAAATACTGTATATTTGATTTTGTTCATATGTTTTCCACAGATTATTGAAATATATGACAGTATTTCTTCAGCATTTCAAATGGTATTTTAATCGACTCACTTGAATTTGGTACATCATTTCATAATTCAAGAGGTCAAAAAATAGAGAAAATGATAATCCCTAAAGGAAGCCCAACACGGCAAAATTGAAAATGTCGCAGACTCGGTTTGATTGAGTCTGTTCATTGACGGTACTGTTAAGTGCAAACTACCGTCCACGCCCCCTAGCTCCGGTTTAAGCAGAATTCAACATTTAACGTAAACTGGTAAAATTTAGAATTTTGAAACATCCGCAGATGTGATCATATGGCGGTTATCATGGAACCTTCAATGTGACACGTAAGTCATTCCATGAAAAGCGGCGTATGGTCCCCAAATAAAAATGCGTGTGCCCTCAACGAGAAAACAATGGGTAAAACTAAATAAAATGGAATTTTGAAAGGGGATCAGAGGTTATGAAGCCTGCATATCACAGATCAGTTAAGATAAGATACCGGTAGGACAAATTCAAAATGCAGGCCACATTTCCTAAGGGTGATTTAACAGTATTCAAGACTTAGTGGGGAATACTGGAACCCAACAAGAAAATAGCCGAATAGAAAGAACTAAATTAACACAATCACAGCAATAATGTCGTGTTGAACGATCTTTAAGTAACATCTCTGATTGAATGTACGGGCGACATTTTACAGCCTCCACACGTTAATGTGGCGATAAAATAGAGAAAATAAGAATCCCTAAAGAAAGCCCAAGACGACAAAATTGAACAGGCTTTTGATTGAGCCTGTTCATGGACGGCACCGTGAAGTGAAAACTTCCGTCCACGACCCGTAGCACCATCAAATTTATCATATTTATTTAAATCACCTTAACTTTAATCAGTAAGTGATAGTTTTGTATATATTTTTTATGTTTTTAATTTAAAAATATTTGAATTCAGATAATTTCAATTAAGGTAAATCTGTCAAATGAAACATAGCGGCCAAAACATTAAAATGTTATTTAAAAGCACTGGAACATCACATTTGAATATAATAGCTCGTGTACAATGTTTATTCACATAAGATATAACCTTAAATAACTCAGCTCTTCTTTGTTTATTTCAAGCTTTATTTCTGCCGCACAGACACAAATTGTGCTGTTTCAAAGTCCGTTATCACATGGTCGATGTCAGAAACAGTTGAATTGATTAAAAAAATATATAATTTAAATTCATAATATCAATTTCAAAATAACGTTCAAATGAATTTTAAAACTATATTTAAAAACAAATGTTATGAAAACTAATGATTAAATGATATGTTATCTGAGGATGCTTTATAAAACCTACTGATTCGTTCAGTACTGAGCTTTACAGCAATCGGAATTAATTATCTAATATATATGCTAGTCTTCAGGCCGACCAGAGTCTTTAATGTTTTAAATGTTACCGTTATCGTCAAAAGATTTAAAAAAATGGAAACCTTAAATATCGTCAAGAACAGCAAATTTAAAAATGATGCTGGCCGTAGCACCGGCTGAAGCAGATCCATGTTAAAATGAAAAATAATAATGATAATAATAATAATATTAATAATAATGATAATAATAATAATTAAACAATAAAACATGGAGCTAAATAAGATGGTACTATGCTTCCTGTCTGAAAATTAAGACGGCGATGGACCACCAGTTTCTGCTGACAATGCTGCCAAGGTATGTATTTATTACTGAGGCTTACTGGTAAAATACCAACACCACAACACCGGTACCGCCACTGGGGATTTAAGTCAATGACTGACTTACAATCCAAACATAAATTATGTATGTTTTGCCTTCTTTTAAAACAAATGGGTTCTGCGCTTATCTGTCATTTTTTATTAGTACATGTATTTAAAAAGAAAATAAGAAACTGGCGAAATATAAAGATAGACAAAGTGAAAATGTATGGGCACTGATTAATTTGAAATGTCAAGACATAGATAAATGACACGTTGCAAACTTATTTATTTCATTTTAAAACAGTCCATGAAAAACCCTGAAAATGGTACGCGCATCGCCACATAGATTAACGTATTTCAAAACAAGAAATATTCATCATTAACCATCCATAATTTTACGTTATATTGTATGTCCTAAAACCTCATGATGTAATATAGAATCAAAATAAAGCATAAATAATAACACTGACCACGGATTTAGACAGGTGCTTGTCACGAATATTCATGTAACTCGGAGATGACAGCCGTATTACCATGGTTGATGATTTACTTCTGAACCCTATAATTGTCTAGCTTCCCGCATTTACTTGTCATTTGTCGTAACTAACGTTTTCCCGGTCCGTGTGTATATGTGCATTTAGTCGAGGCTGTTTATGACGGTCTTTAAATAACGTAATAACGTTTTCAATACACTTTTTTTGTTTTGGAATATTGAAGAAAAGGGAAAACTAACATGTGAGTGACAATTATGTTTTAAGATTAAATCTATTTAATAAGTTTGTTTTAAACTATTTTCAAACAATGTTTCTGTTGTCCAATTTGGAATATTTCTTATTTCTGATCTCTCATCAATATTACTATTTGTGCATTTCATATTATAACTGTAAAATTAGATTTCATGCTCTACGTTTAAATTATAACGAATATTTACTTATAATAAGTAATATAGTCTAAGGTAAGTTGTCGAAATAACATTTCGAAAAATAAAACGCAATATTCACCTAGGCTATGTTATAAATATATAAGAAATATACTTATAAATTCGTGTAGCTGTCTCCTAAACTTAATATAATTTTCATGAAGAAGAATATTTAATATGTTTTTATTCCGTCGGTCTGTTCCGGTTTGGTTGTATTTTGTAACATCATTCCATTCTGATATTTACGTGGATTTACGTTTATAATTTCATTCCATATTCTGTTAGTAACCTCTAACGACGTCATATTACTCCTTCCTTCTAACAGTAACGGAGTATTTACTTTAAGAGCTGCCCCTAGCTTGAGACATGCATTTGCTTTTAATAAAATATTTGAACTTTTTACCGCGTGCATTCTGATTCCTTCATCATCTTAATTGTGTGGTTCTGTCGTTCTGTTTTCAAGAAGTGTATTGCTTTTTCTACACCATCTAATAAAAGGGGCCTTTACATACGAGTGCTGAGGGGCAAGTTGTCTCTCCCCTTACTACTGATGAGAAAGAATTCAATCAGGAATTTTGTGCCATAAATAATGCACGAATGTTCCTACAAAGATCTTCATTCTCCAGTAAAACATTTACAGTTTCGGTGCCAGTAAGAAGCCAACATACCAAACTAAAATCAAGTATACATTTTTGTATTAGTAAAATTAAGTATAAATTATATAGTTTATTAAACTACATGTATAAAGGTGTTTGGACATGGCAAATGTCTGACTCATAACGTTGTATTTCTTTTGTATATTTGATTAGCTTGTATTTTGCGTCGTTTTCATATGTTTAAACTCATAACATTCAAAATATATGTGACCATCAGAATATAACGCGGAGTAAAATGAGGACGAAACTGAAAATGTAATATCATGAAGTCTTTTAAATTGAAAATTAATAATTTGAGCAATAATACAAATTAAACTATATCTGCTCTAGAAACGCCTATATAACAAAATGCAATGTCTGATGCAACGTAATCCAAAACATTTCGCTCTTTACTTTCGCGTGTCTTTGCTCTTTGCCATGGTGCACTATCTTGCGAGACTACATGTCATTTTCATGGAGAAAAATATACTTTTTCCAACAACACAATCACAAACAGGCTCAGTGTTTCAATATTGTCGTGTTGGGCTTTCGTACAGGTTTCAATTTTATTTAAACAATAAAAAACAACAAATAAAACTATAACTCATCTACTCTATTACATGTTTCAATTTTATCTATTTTGACAATAGTCAAACATTTGTTTATATCATGTGTTTTCATCATATGCAACATTCGTAATCTCGATTCAAGTGTTGATCTTGCATAGATATGAAAAGGAACCTACATTCATACAAAGTTCCTTGTTGTTAATACACCTCTCATTTTTTCAAATTTTGGATATCCTCAAATATGTGCTAATCGAGTAGTAAGTAACACGTCGATTCCTTTACATTCTGTTAAAGTCTTTGTTTTATATAAGCCATTTATTCATTTTTCTAGAACAGTATCTACTTTTGTGTAAGGGAAAGGGCCTCATGTGCAATGAAGACAGTAAAATGTGAAAATAACTGACTTGTTTTGATTGAGGAAACAAACGATGAAGCATTTCGATGACTCGAAATCAAGTCTACGTAGCTTTAACTTAATATATAAAATTGCTATACTCGAAACTTACTTCGACTGAAAATTCAACCATGACAGCCATAAATCACGCTCAGAGTTAATTTCATTAGCGAAATTTTATACCTATTTTAATATACATTTTTGACCATAATTAACGCTACAGTATGGTTGTTGTGGTTTTATCTAACGTACTAGGTGAGGTTATAAAAACGTTATATTCATTTATCACAAAGTAGAAGGTATTTCTACAGCCAAAGCTTGTCATATCCAACAACAAACTGTCAGTTATTTCAGTAGGATGGTGTGAGAAAAAGTAACTTACGTTCTCCTTTTATTGCCGGTCTGATCAAATAGACGTGAAAATTCTTTCAAGCAAAAACATGAAACAAACAAAAAACAATATACCTTAATCATAAATGATTTCAGTAAGGTAAGTAATTACATTAAAAATGACAACATATTTAAGGTACTTTCTAGTTATAGAGATAGCTTTATAAAGACGATATTTATTTAAAAAAGAAATGCTATGCAATTAAATAACAGTTAAAAAGGTTCGATTTATCAATGAATTATAATAAATGGGGTACAATACTATAAAGGACATTTGATAAGACACTGTATTGCCTAAAAATGGTTTAATATGTTCAAAAACTATTTGGTGACATAAAAGTGACTTAACTATGGGTAACTGCAGAAGCGATTCTTCACTAGTTGTTCTTTACAAATGAATCACATTACAGCCGCTCTCACCATTCCAAAACATATACGCATACATCAAGTAAACTATTGATTATTTGATTATCAATTCAATTATTTCTTACAAGTTATCAATAATTTATTTTGGTTACACAGGAATATATTATGAGGTAATGCATGCACAAAATGTAAAAAGCTGTAAACAACAACACTAACAACTAACTCTTTATAAATACTAAAATAGCATCAGCAAAAATATACAACAAAACGTTTGACGGAAAATGCGTTGGATATTATGCTAAAACTTGTATTCGAATAAACAAAAGCATTATATATTTTGAGTAAACAATGTCCCATTAAAGTCAGTGTCCTTTTAAACTTAAAACTTAATTAGAATCACGAATATCTGTAAACTTGACATAACTGTCAAAATTCCTTGTCATGAACATATGATATTGCACCTGTAGATATATCATTAAGTGCGAACTTCTTCTTTCCTTTTTTTCGCGCAGAAATTCATTAAAAGTATGCGGTATTACAGCGAAACATGTCATCTTTATAATACTATTAATACACCATATTTGTAAACAAATGGATTGCTTCGCAGCCACGTATAGTTGACAGTTTTAGTACCGCCAGGGGGCAGCCTGTTTGTCACCATTTTTAAAGCAGACGGAATATATATGACGTCACTACCAAATACCAATGCTTTTTGTGGTTAAAGTATTAGCACGATTATACCGTTTAAACGCCAAAAAGACTTAGTGACAACTTAACTTTCAATATATTTCAAGGCGTGTGCTCAACACAAGAGCTTTCAGACTTTTTGGTTAAATTTCAAAATATGTAATTTTCTAATTACGTGGTAATGTATAGTATCGAATAGATGACATGTGGTTGACAAGTGAAAACGTACATGTGACCATCGATACCACACGCGTGACAAATGTTAGCGTTTGTAGCGGACTTGTGGTACAGTACTAGTATTAGTGATAGTTAGTGTAGAGGTAATGTACGTGACAAGAAGTACAGTATACCGTATAGGTGAATAGAAGTTAGTACTGTAAACGAGACTATAGCTACTATATAATAGAGTAAAAGTACCATAGACATAACTAAAGGTAGCATATAAGATTCGTACAGCCTGTGGTATACAGACCGAATATGTAGGTCTGAGAAGTGACGTTACAGTCGGTAACTGGGCATCTGCCGATTTCACCATTGAACGTATCCGCTAGAGGTAGATATCCTCTTACAAGCCGTTTTGATCTTCTGCATATAACATATCAATTATTTTCACAAACGAAATTACACTAACGGCTCTTATCATAACGCAGTTTACTATAGAGCGAATAACTGTCATTTCAATCATAACGTTTAAGTGACATCTGCAGATAAGAACGCAATTTATTCATAAAAGCCGCTCATGACGTATTAACAAAGAACTTTTTAACATGTTAATACATATTTTTCTAAATACTGTTGAATCTGGTAGATAAAATAGTTCAATGCAAGAAATTATGTGATTGGCGGTATCGTAAAGTTCACTTGTGGTATTACATAAGTAACGAGATGTAGGTCTGTAGAAGTGACCGACAATCGGTACCATGCATGTGCATCACTAATGACGTATATTTCACCAGTTGTACCGTATATCCGTCTTAAGGTACCGTATAAATCCTTAAAGGTGCCGTATAGGTGACTCGCGGGACTGTACATATCAATAAGTGTTACAAACGAATTGACACGCCACGGCTCTTTATTCATAAGGGAGTAATATGACGACCGCGAGAATTATTATTCTGTCACTTTCTCAGAATCTATCAACTGAGTTAAGATGACTATCTGCATGTATTATTAGTTTGTCAAACTATGACAATATATTGTGATTTATATAAAGCGACTTCTAGTATTATCAATAGAATTTTTAATTTCAATTTAATATATTTTTTTTTAAAATAATTTGTTGAATTGTGATCAGAGTGAAAAGTAGTTCAAGTAAGAAAATTCTGTGTAAACAAGTCGTGAGGCTCCCGTGGCCGACTGTTTAAGGACGTTGACTTTCAAACACTCGCCCCTTGCCGCGATATATACATGTAAACTCTGAAAACTGACAACCACAGGATAAAGGACCTTTCACCCGCCATTTCAAATGGAAAAAACCTGTTTTTATGTTTGAATGTTACAAATGAAATGTTAACATCTTTGTTTAGATTGCTATCTTAAACTATCATTTAGAATGAAAAATAATCAGCATATTACTTCTTGGACAATTCTGCCCATATGGATTACACCATTTTAGAAAAAAAAAATATTAATCAACAAACATGCTATGTTGCTTGTGCATATTTTTCATGTGCAAAAGACATTCAGTTGTTCGATAAACATGTATTGTGAATTAAACAATGTCGATGAAAACCGTCAAAGAATATGTTCCTTCTGAATAAGATAATTATATCTCTTTGTCAACGTGTTACATCTATTAAAAACTTATCATACCTTTGTCGTAGTAACAGTCTCTACTCAGATATAAGAATAAAATTCTATTAAAAAATAAAATATTTGATAAATCATTAACAGTATGCAAACTTTACAAGAGACAGGAGCAACCCCGTCACATATATGAGCCGCGTCATGACAAAACCAACATAGTGGGTTTGCGACCAGCATAGATCCAGACCAGCCTGCGCATCCGCGCAGTCTGATCAGGATCCATGCTGTTCGCTATCAGTTTCTCTACTTGTAATAGGGTTTGTAAGCGAACAGCATGGATCCTGATCAGACTGCGCGGATGCTGGTCGCAAACCCATTACGTTGGTTTTGTCGTGACGCGGCTCATATATATTCATTGGACACTTCGATTATACACTTTCAAATGTTAATATTAGTGTGATGAAATTATGTTACGATGTTTTATGGGGCTATAAATACTTTTAGTAATTTAATTTGATCACGATATCTAACATTTTTATATTTAGTGATTTCCGGTCGTTAAAGTGTCGCTCGGGCTCCGATTGTATAATAAACTAAGGCAAAAAAAAAGAAAAGAATCAGATTTGTTTGTGTTAATGGCTTCTTTTGTATGTTAGAAAGAGATATATATACACACAGAAAGTTTCAGCAACTCTACATGCATTTAAAGTTTAGATTTAGCTGCAAAATTTACATTCGAAGATAAAAAGAAAGAAATCTTTACGCCCTTACTGATATTTTTGATACATATAAACGTGACTTTTTAATATTGACCTTGTCGAGTTAATTTTTAAGTATTGCTGTTTACCTTACAACAGTATTGTCTAAAAATTTGACAAAGTAACCCATTAGCCAAATTAAACGATCGTGACAGCTGAAAATGGATTTTTCTAAAAGCTTTTTAGTTTCAAAACGCAAAGCATCCTGTTTAATAGCTATATTTATATTTTTGTTACTTCCATGAATTCAAAGTGATTAATTAAAGTTGCAAGGACTTTTTCCACAATCGGGCTTCAATACATTTGTTTAATCAAAAAAGAACATTATTATCTTCAGCAGGTGCATACTTTAAAAATATCTTAAAGGGCCTCCACTGAGGTTTTTTTGACATGACGGGACTGGAAATATTTTTTTGAGATTGATATTCCATTTGATGTAGGTCTAGACCAATAACTTGTGTGCGAAATTTCACATCGTTCATTCAATCTGTTTTTCCAGAAAGATTATTCATATTGTGCAAAATGACCCAAATTGAAAAGCTCTGCAATGCTAGGCAAAGAATTGCACAATGGCACGATTTTCGTTTAATCTGAGCATATATTTTATTATCTTTTGCATATCTTTCTCCTTTAAGTGCCCCTGGTGATCTATGTAAATAATATTATTATTTTTTTTTGTTTTTCATGCCTTTAGATTCAGCGGAGTTCCTTTAACGGAACTACATCAGAAATACGTCTAAATGTAAAACCAAACATATATCAATTGAAGCAATTAAAATGGGAAAATATAAGAGATAATACTGAAAATACTTAAGTTTGCAATTCTTATCTTAAGACATAAACATTGTTAGCTGCCTACCGTTCAATACCCGGATATTAAACAAAACTACATGATAATCTGGCTGTGCCATGTGTTCTGAATTTTAGAACATGAGAATCCATTTATCCTAAAGAGGGAAAGAGCGCGATTTATAGACAATGTTGTACATATGGAATATGTACCTTGGTGCTCTTTTCAATTAACCGCCACGCAACATGTCCAGTTAGATGGTTTTATTACGAAACTTTAATAAATCTTTTAAATATGTGACTTTTTAATTGCCCATTTTTCTAATTACAGATTCAAAATGCTTCGAATACTGACAGTGCTCACATACGTGACCTATATTTATGCTCAACAAGGAAACTGTAAGTATAACTCTATGGTTTTTTGTTACAAAAGAAAACTCCCATAGTTCAAACAATTAGTACATTATTACGCCCATCTTACAGCACTCCGTTGACCTAAATGTCACAAGGTCGTGATATTCAATGGGACTATTTAACAGACGACAATATTGCATTGTGAAGGACACTTACATTTCGTAGAAAAAGTCCAAAGAGTACCGAAAAAGCGCTGGGTACTATGTAAGTAAGTTATAAAGTAATGACCAAATGTCACAGCTTCTACGTGAGGAACTTTAAGGATGATACCGTTGTTAAAAGCAATATAGATTTTAAGGAAAGAATTTAGCAGAAGGAAATATAACGCATGCATTTTTGATAAGATTATAAGAAAGAGGATTTGCACAAACTATATTTAAATGGTTGAATTTTAGGCTGTTTGAATAAAATTGCACTACAGTTTAATGTCATCTTAAGTACATAAAATGCGCTTGTTTTTTTTATTTAATTTTAACAGGTTCTTTTACATAATTGTCTTCTACTTTTTCTGGTCTCTGTTATCTTGGTATTTAATAATATGTTAAGAAAGTACTTTTTTTGGTGTTTTATACAAAACTGGTAATATGTATGATTAAAAACGATTGTGCAAGTAAACATTTTCAAATCATTACGTACTGTTTCAAACAAAGAACGTAGCCATTAACAAAACTCAAATTAATAGCAAAATAATATGTCTATCACACTGCCACACAAAGCAACCTTTTGTTTTTAAAGTTACGAAAAATATCTGTAGGGAATATGTGACGTTGAAAACAACGTTTTATTGATTTTTTTCTGTACATTAAGAAAAAGAACTGTTTGTTTTAAACAAATTATGAAAGGTTCTTAAACTTGTAAGGGAAGATAATATCATGAACTAAAAACGAACATTTGTGTGTTTTTTACATACTGTTTAATTTGAATAAATTCATCCTTTGTTTTTCAACCGAAATCATTTAAGTGAAGATTATAAAAAATACAATTTGCATTGAAAACGTGAGAGTTTGGTAAATATGACCAAGTACAAACAAACATTTTTGTTTCAAAGATATTATAACTCAAGATATTTTTTTAATCATCTTAAATATAAATGTCAATATGTCAATATCAATCTTTTATTTATTTCTTCATTTATTTATAATTTTGATTGAATGATTGAATGGAAATTCTATGTTTATTTTGTTTAAAATATCTTCCGTAAAAGTCACTATTCACACGGTAAATTTACATAATCCAAGATAATGCTTCTCTTGTTTAATCGAAGACCATTGCATTAGTAAATAGAGTTCTATGAGTTAGTTTTTTTGTGTTTGAGTGTGTGTGTTTTTCCCACTAAAATGAGATATATAAATTTGAATTTGATGTAAAGGAGCATTCTACAAATTTGTAAACTTTACCTCAAGTTTAAACTCCGCGAAATAATGTTTTTTTTTTGTTTTGTTTTTAAATTATTTAATATATTTTCAAAATAATTGTTTAATAAGTTTTCTTCTATTTTTCGATTTAAACATAAGCATTGTTTTGTAGCGTGGAAATAAACGTTTTGAATAAATCTACCTCGAGTTATTACGAAAGACCGGTGGGGACATTTCAACGTCATGAATTTCCGATTTCATTTTTATAAATTCCCGATTGCAACTTCACGAATTCACGACTTTAACTTCATGAATTCACGATTTCAACTTCATGAATTCACGATTTCAACTCTGCGAATTCAATTCATGAATTCACGATTTCAGCCCTTCAACTTCACGAATTCATGAAGTTAAAATCCCCTACCGGTCTTCCGTAAGTTATGCATCCTCACCTTACTTGATTTATATTTGAAAACGATTACCATATTCGAATAATTATCTGTAAATGTACTAAACGGTTTATTATAGATCAAACAAATATAGAACACATGTCTATTTTGATTTAATTAAATATGCATGCAGATATTTCATATAGTGATCTCTAGATAGTGATGTACACATGTAAACTGTCACATGTGAGGGGATTCAAACGTCTATATTGTCATAGTTGTCAACTATACATTATATATACATACATCACATAGTGAAAAGTCCTGATCTAGTCAACTGTCATAATTTATCAATTAATATACTGATATATCTATATATTTTTATACAGTGTTACCGCTGTATTTGCATATAGTATTGGATAATGATGTGCATTTAATCAATGAATTAAGAAGGCTCAAAATAAGAACTCGCTAATGAAATACAAAGTAATCTAGATATGTTGTACTTATAGTGACTGATTTATGCCATGTCGTTTTATTGCTCCGCGGGGCGCCAGGCGAAATACGACAAAGTTTATACTTTGCCGTATTTTCGAGTTTTCGTATGACGCCCCGCGAAGTGAAAGTACCACAAAGTGCTTACTTTGTCGCATGTTCGTGCTTTCGTTAGTTGTCCCGCGGAGGGAATGTACGACTTTGTGGTGACTTCGTCGTGTTTTCGCCTGTCGCCCCGCGGAGCAAGTTACGCCATGGCAAAATCAGCCACCACATGTACTCGCATTGTTTAAACCTTTTACGTGCGGTAACTGGTATGATTAGCCTTGCTACCAGTATATAGCAAGGCAAGCCTTCACATCCATGCTGTCTGACTAGGCTCCATGTAAATGGATTAAAAAATCAACTTTAAATAAAAACATTATTTCAGTTCAAGTAAAATTGGTCTTTAAAAAAAATATTCCAGTTGTTTTTTAATTGACACTATGTATTCATATTGTGTCCTCCTATAGTGTGTTGAGTTTAAAACATTACATATCTACTTTGTGTGAAGCCGAAACATGTTGCTTCTATATTTACAAAGAGAGGTGTAGCAATTTTCAAGAATCTCAAATACAAAATTTGAGCACAATATATCTTCAACTTTTCAAATTGATATCCAAAATTTTGATAGTGGATAGTTCCGAACAAATCCATTTATTTTATTTTCCATCACAGTGCATACAACTTAATTATCAAACAATGTTAAATATACATTCTACAAGTTTGAGGACTTTCCAAAAACATACTTTATTTTCAAATAACATTATTACATCAGGCTGAAGTCGGTCGTATCTTAAATTCTTAATAGTAAAGCATCAAAATAGCATTTTCAGACGCTTATAAATTATTCCATCTAGTTCCATCTAATTCTCTGAAATCATTGAACATCTTTAACAACTTTATTGATAAAGATATATTGTTCTGAATTAAAAAGAAATTATAAGGAATAACAACATTTTTATAGGGAAGCAAACACGTCTTGGGGAGTTTGCATACCATTTTAATGGTAGTAAAAGCATAACCTCTTAGTTTCTCCTTTTTACATTTCTTTGGATATAAGTGAATACTTTTTTGGAAACACTTTTATTCCGCAAGAATGATAAATCTTTATTAAACAAAACGAAAACGGGCCAAATGCCCCTTTGTATATTTTATAGACAAACCTAGGCTAGCGTCAAAATTAGTATTCACAAATTTTAAACACGACTGCGAAATTACCATTAAGATCGTGGCTATTATGAAATAAATCTTTGTATGTTTTTTTACCGAAATGACATGTTTATATCACGTGTTCTGTTCCGTACAGCGGTTTTACTTTCATAAAACTGATTTTTTGACAATTTTGCCAAACACACCCACCGTCTTAAATCTAAATCACGTCTTTATATAACATCATCATTTGCCATTTGCGTTGTTTATAAATCTAGATTGTAGGCCAAAACCTTATGCTAAATGTTGAAATGAGAATTGAATTTAATGAATTCGCCAAGATATTAACGTTTATTATTTGACAATTGTTTATATCAGCACCAGCAGCAATTAAAGTTTATATTTAATCTTTAAATCAATTTCAAATTATTCATTGAGCGAAAACAAGTCAATAAATTGTTTAGGCACGTAAGTTACATCTAATAACTGTCATAATTAGTGACAAGTGTCTGCACAAAGGGTTCAATTGATCAATCTAATTTCCCATTTCCGCTCAATTAATCAAACAAACTTGCACATGATTTTGACCCTTTTAATACAATTTGCTAACAAACATTGACTTAAAAAGTTAATTTCACGTGCTGGCTATCAAGAAGCTGTGTGAGTGCAGCATTTTGTTTTGCACTGGTAATACCAGCATGAAATAAGACAATGTAACATCTTTATTGTGCGGTTATATCAATAAAACTGAGTACTATTTTAAACAACGGATGCAATTCTATTTCCTACTAAAAATGACCACACATGCAGATTATTTAAAACGTTTAAAACTTAAAGGCCCATTTGGCCTCATAAATACTTATATTTCTTCAAAGCTCTTTAATGTTAGTGTACTTTTATAGTATCCAAAATGTTACTCATTGCCCAATTACCTGAACCATCTGCTTCATCTGTTTTTTTTTGCTATAAGTACAGTTATATAGTAACTTAGTTTTTTGTATGGAATTCAAAATACTACTTTGTTTTCATTTCGCTACTTTAATGACGCATTTTTCACATTTATCGCTACCGTTTGAGGTAACAGACATCTAACATTATTCAAGCATTATGAAATCTATGCTTGCCCTTCTTAAGAAGTACACATTTGTTTGTTTTTTCTGTGCTTTTAGTACTTAAGACATATAGCTTCATTTTAAATTCTTTATTTTCAGCGGGATGTCTCTTAAAAGCAGTAGATGGCAACCCAAGAATGTTTCAAATAAATGCCCCATTCCAAGGCAATAGACAGTTCCCATGCCCCGAAAATACCTTATTTAATGTGAACCATTGTGGATGCGGTTGGGTAGATAATCCAATTAATCGATGTAAGTAACATGATTTATAGTATTTTGTAAGTATTTCTAACATAACAATGTCATCATTATAAAAATTTCTGTAAAGTTTACTTAAAAAGGTAACTTTAAACTACCTTTTGAAACGACTTTAAAGAACCTAATAATAATTCGAGCATTATTATATGAAATGTCTTCAAATAGAATGTAAGTTTGTAAGCATCGATAAATCAGTGCAAAGTGTAATTCACAGACTGGACTGGCTCCCAAGTCTTGTTTTTAGACTGATACATGAACCTCACTGTAAACAAGGCAGTAATGTAGTGTTGGGGCAAGTAGTCGAGACTGGTTATTCTAAGAAGGTTTTACGATTTCAAAATAAGTAATTCAATAAAAACTCAAATACATGTTCATGTACTTCTTTAATTTATAAGCTCGTATCTATATTAACCGTATAATGTAGAAGACACTCAGTTAGTGCAACCAAAATAATTCCGATCAGTAATTGTTTGCTATTTCGATCAGTTGGATATTGCAAAAGGTATCGTTATCTCAGATGTAACGACACGTATCACATGTATAGATTACATCCTATAGTTGAAATACGAAATGTGTTAGCATCAAAAACATTAAAATGTTATTCAGCCCTTTAACAATGTAAGATTACAGTCAATCTGACAATAACAGTAAGCTCAAGTCCTCCCGTACATATTCCTTGTATGTCTATATTTCATATACACAATTCAGTTGTACTCATTCATCAAAGAGCCAAATTTATTGTAAGTCGGCTATATTATAAAATGTGTAGAGGCAACATGGTGTAACAGTCCCTACCCTAACTCAAACAAAATTTCTTTCTTATTTAAGACGACAATTAGCAGATTAATTATCACGTACATATTGCTAATTTTATGCAAAATTTTGTCACATGTAACAAAATCTGACACCTTCTGTTGAATTAAGCGTACAAAATGCAAATCATGTTAAAAGTTCCTAACCTAGCCAATGGTTATTATATTAACAAAGACAATACCCTCGTAAATCGAATGATAAATGAATGACATCGTCATCTTTCATAAATTAATTTTAATAGTTTACTTCTATTGCACATATTCTTAGAAACCATATTTCATTAAAATGCATGACACTGTGCATTCTGTAACCTTAAAAGAATACCACATGAATAAAGAATATCATTCAAACTTGTAAATTAATTTTACTTATCATATAATTATACTTAATATGCTATTAATATTATCATAGTTTCAAGCGTATACAAATGTATATTCTTTATTGATAAAATTTATACTTAAAAGCTTTAAACATTTTATATTACATCAGAAACGTATCCCATAAATTAGAAAATTCCTATCCCATAAACTATTTGAAAAGTACTGAAGGCGAAAATATTCCATTACACAACCAGTTAAATAAACATCAACAACAAATTTGAAATTATATGAGCTAGTATTATCTGTTACATTTTAGCACCTACAGAGCTTGCTGGTATGGGCACAATTGAAGGTGGTCGGTTCGGACCAATTGACCCCGGTACCATCATGACAACGCCAGCTGTAACGACAAGAGCACGTGCGTATAATATTCCCACCCACACAACTAAACAATACAAGTCTAAATATTTATTTTTCAAAATTAATTTATTACCTCAAAATGCATACAACTCTGTTAATACGTATTAATTTACTTCAAATAACCAAAAGTAAACCTATTTCGGAGCTATAGATCCTTTCTTTAAAGAATGTTTCTGTAGTATTCTTTGAAACTTCTAATTTTATATTTCTATTTTTAGCATGTACTCTCCGACCACTTCCGGACAAACATATGTATGAACAGTTTATCCTGGGATATGATTGGATACCCCGCAAATGTCCAATGGGAACTCTTTATAACCCAAGCTCCTGTGCATGTCATGACCTAGACCCATACCAAACTTATAGTGAGTATTAGATTGATATTACTTACACATGTAGGCACATCTTTGTACTTATTTTTAAGAAGAAAGATAACATACGCATGAATTTATTCAACGAGTGCAATAAATTCAGTAATTAACTTACACGAATTTAATATTCTATTTATCACATACCCAAAATAAAAACCGTTTAAAATGAAACAAAATGTCATTTTTCATTGACGCGCTTACAGTATAACGCTAACATTTAGCGTATTTTGCTACTGGACTGAATGACAGTAACGTGTCCTATTGAATGTTTCATAAACCCCAATATGGACACATCTGCGGATGTTTAAAAATTCAAAATTGTACCATTTTATATTAAATGTTGAATACTGCTTAAGCCGGGGTCATGAACGGTAACATGTATTTATTACTACCGTCCATGAACATGCTCAAATTAAACCGAGCCTGCAACATTTTCAATTTTGGGCATTCTTTAATAATATTTTAATAACCATGCCTCAAGAAGTATACGACAAAACATTTTTTCGTTGCATAGTCATTTATCAGTGCCTCAAGACAAACTAATCATCTGGGTTTTGAAATTGATAGAATGTGTACAAAAACGAGTTAGAATAAAATGATCTTTAATAGATATTGATTTGAGGAAATATAGCGTTCAGATCCGAGCCAAATTACATTTTGCTAGGCCCTTGATATCTGTCTAATCACCATGTAAGACATAGTCTAAATAAAGTTAAACTTTTATTTAATACACACTTGTATGTCTTATTAACTCACAATAGGCATGAAGCAGTTGGATACAACGGTTTTGGTAACTTTTTTGTTGGGTTTTACTTCGCGCCAAAACATTGCAGGTCATATGGCAAATTTCCAGCTTTGCTGCCGAAGGAAGACCTTAGGTGTCACTCCTTGCATTGCGCCAAGTACGAGCTGGTACTTGAGTTTACCGACGTTCTGTAAGCGAGCTGAATAGCTTTCTTACATGAAAGAATCCGAAGACCCTGGCTGAATGCGAACCCACAGTGGTGAGGGGCAAATGGTGGTTGAAGTCTTAACAACTCGGTTATCGGACGCCCCTTCAAGCACCAAGTCTAATTGTTCATGTGATCTTCAATTAAAGACATAACTATGTAGAACTGTATGCCATATATATGACCATTGGTTATGGTTAAAGTAAGATTTTTCCCGCGGGGTGATGATATAATGCTAAATAAAACTTTTCATTTATTTTGAAAATGTTTTTTCAGCATGTCAACCAGAACTGTGGATCAATTTTAACGGCAGAGAAATAGAGGATTCTGCCGGGTACCAGATTTCTATCGGGAACAACGGTAACGTAGTTAATGTCAGCAACGCCGGACGTTTTGATGGTACAGGAACCTTGACAGTCTGGCAATATGCCAACCAAGATCTTGGCACACAGTTGTCGGTCAATCTACGATTTTATGAATTTCCAGGGGGCGTTTCAGATGAACAGGTTTATTTATATTAATATTAGTAAATGTTGTCACGAACGTTTCGCGTAATTCAATAATACAAAGTTTTTTCATTACACAAATTTTTGCTTTTTTGAGAATTTATGCTAATGTTAATGAATTTACATTTTTAACATATATTTATGTTATAAGAAGTAGAAAAAAATTTGTTGATAAGAGTAATACGTCACTTTACGTTGATACGTTTGGTTTAGCTTGTATGAAAGGTTTATATCTATTTAACAAACGTTGTACTTTGAAGGACATTTATTATATCTTAACGGTTCATGATTTAATCATAATCAGCTTTTCTGCGTAACTTTGTCTGTCGTCGTACATAAATTCAAATATATATTTATACATTTATGTGATTTATGTTGTGGAAAGCATATACATGTATCGTTTAATAAAAAAACTCTCACTATTTCACGAAACTCGAAAAAAATCAGTTTCATCTAGAAGATAACTATCTTTATACCTCGGTCTTGCCTCACCAACTCTTAATTGGAACACGCGCTTATTTACAAGTTTTGTAATTGATTTTTAAAAAAAAAACAAAAAAAAAAAAAAAAACAACAAAGACATGGCGAATTAGATATAATGCTCTCTTGAAGATCCTTTAACCATTCTTCTTGTTTAATGGTCTGTGGTTAAAAATTACCTATACAAATTCCCCCCACATAATTCACAAGTTGATAATTCAAACAGTTTTTGGAAAAAGCGTGCAGCTTTCTACTCAATCCTTTTTTGTGTGTTTTATTATAAGAATATTACGTATATATGTTTGATTGAAATAAAATATTCCTAAAAACTAAGTTGATAATTGAAATAGCTATATATTTTTACTCTGATATTTAAGGTATTGATATCCAATTGCTTTGGAAGACAGCTAGGCTCTGTAGAAATTGCTCTTAACCAACAAACCAAAGAAGTGATATTCAGAGTTGAAGCAAGGGTTGGGAAATTCCCGGAAGGAGTTGAACTTCGTCTTCCATTTAGAGTACGTTACAAACATGACATTTTCATTTTTTTATTATGCATTTATATTAGGTTGTTTGTAACGTTTTACAATCTTAATTTACTTACTGTTCACGAATTAAATTCAATATAATATAAATATGTCAAGGGTATTTAAATGTATACTGTAAAAGCTCGGAGAGTCTTGAGAAATAAAAGTGATTTGCTGTGCGTTTCTTTTTAGTATGTTTTTCTATATTATCAATTATCATTAGATCTATATAAATTTCGGGTTTTTTATTTCTTCAAAAATCTTAAATTATTGTATTATTGTTGGATCATTTGTGTAACTTTTTATAACTGAACAATTACGTTATGCATTCTATTGTATTACCACATTGTTCTGGTGTAACCTTACTAGGAGAAAGCCTGGAAGAATGTAACAATGACGTATGATGGAAACATGGTCACTGCACAAGTTGACGAAGAATTCGCTAATGCACCACTTAAAGGTACCACACTTCTTTAACATCAACAGATATATAAGAAAGACTTTCATGTCTCTTTCCAGCAATGACATTGACATTTAATGTCCCGTTTTTATTCTAATAGAGTTACCAGGACTATCACGATAAGTTCTGACAACTTTCTGTCTAAATAACATAAAATTGTGGATGTTAAAAACAAAATTATTGTTGTTATCACACAAGTAATTTTAATTCGTGAATATTTAAAAAAAAACTTGTGTGACGTACTGATCATTTGCATACAAAATTCCTGAACTTTCAAAGAAAAATAAGAAAGTTTACAAAGCAACACTCTGTGGCGTTGGTAACACCTTATTTTGTGCTGTCTTTAACTGTTTGCTTTGGTTTTTATTGCTCTTAAAGGATCTCATTTTTCCGGATAATTTTTTCAAGCGCCTATTTGGTGACTTTCAATTATGTTGTATCACGTTCACTTCTATTCTGAAGTATACCTCTCTACCCGATATCACATAAATAATCATTGTCTATTTTAGGTCATGTGACTACCCGCTACAATGGTTTGTTAATTGGAAGCTGTAATGGGCGGGGTTACGTTGGATATATTGATGACGTAAGTATCTAGAGCGCTTTTTTTCATCGAGTTGCTTTTTCTTTGATTGCAATAAAACAGACCATAAAAGAGACTTTAAGATATTTTCGAATAGAAATTAGATGTTAATGTTTAAATAAAACTTTAAATTTTTGTATTTTAATAATTTACAATGTTTAATGATATACATAATTTTCACATTTAAATGCGTTTGTTCGCTCTTTTCTATAACTAATGAGAATGCATCTAGTTAATCACATTATATAACAAAAACTTCTTAATGTCTCGTCTTTGCTTTTATTTTAACTGAATTGAATACGAAAGTGTAGTTTTATAAAATGAAATAAGCTGATAAAGCTTACAAATATGTTATCTACATAATTGAACATAATATTATTATGATATGATAATATAACAATGTACAATTCGCTAATTAATGTTTTTTTTGTTTGTTTTTTTTGTTGTTATGAAATTCGACTTTCACGCCTTAATTTTTTGGCTAACGTCGTTTGACACTTTAACAATCTGCAGACTAAGCTTATATAAAGTTATATTGTGTCAAACAGGTGTTTCGATATCGTCATAACACTATTAGTTTTAGCACGGGCCAACTTATTTATATATAATTACATATTTACAATCAGACCTATGATTTATCCCTAAATAAGGTAGAAATTCGGCATACTTCACCAATGTCCGTAGCATGGAATGTATATCCAAGCATCGATATGAACAAGGAGCACAAAAATACTGTCATATGCTAAAATGACCCCACTGCTCGAACTAATACGAGGTCTTGATAGATGTTTTACATTGTATATACAAAATTACATAATTATACTTTACCAGAATGTTCAGAAGAGAGAAAAAAGAAGCTATGTTCATATTAATACTACTCTATTTATCAATTGCCGTTAATAAACCACTTTTTTTGTTGTTTTTTTTCCTTTTAGTTACGATTATTCAGATGCCTTATTGAAGGAGTAAGAAACAACTACAATGCATTGGGGAATGGAGGAATGGACGCAGGGGCATCAAGTCTTAATATGCCATGAAATCTTGTGTAGAAACATTTGCCGTGATATTTTAACAGGAGCCTCGCATTATATAAAAAGACAACTCAATATTTGCTCATCATAAAATGATGAGATATGTACTTAAGGTTCCTGACAAACATTTGTTATAATTTCCAGCGAAAATATGGTTTATCAAACTCAACAGAAGAAAATTAACTGATAATTTATAACCTATCTTTTTAACAGACTTCTCATTTTAAAAACAGATCATGCATTAATCAGTCAATTGTACTGTTTAGCACAATTTGTGATATCATTATTTCATTCATGTATAAACCAATAAATCGTATTTATATAACAGTTTGTTATTTATTTTACATTCTGGATTTTTGTCAAGTAAATTCATAAAGGTGTCTTACCCACGAGGACAACGTACGTACGATAATAAGACTATAGCTAAGCAATTAAAGTTCTCTATCGAAAAGGACATAGTATCGCTGATATATATTAACAATTATAATAATAAAGGCAAACAAATGAATCTATGTCGTTTACTTCCAAATATTAGCATTTCTATCTTGGCTTCACTGTGAATTAACAATTGTCAGTTGAATATCCAGGAGTTCGTCATAAATTTAGCATAGCATGTGTTTTTATTTCATTTGTTATTTCTATAATAAGGATATGGTATAGTTAATACATGCTTGTAGTTCACATACGTACAATTGTGTGACCATAAACAAATACATTAGTAGTAATCGGACAGCAAAAAAGAATTAACTATCAGAGGAAAATACAGATATACAATCACCCTTACAAAAGCGCACACGCGCACACACACGCACGCTCACACATAACCCCTAAAATACTCTATAAATCATAATACCCAAGTGCAGCCATATAATACCATTATAATGCTTGTTATAGATATATTATATACAATGAATGTCTACTGTGAGAGTAAATATGCACAATAAAATTAACAACATGTTTCAAAAGCATAAGTCTTTTTGAAATTGTACAGTTAATCTTCACATGTATATACATTATGTAATCAGTCTATCTCCGTTATTTCTCTTCGTTGGTATGTATAATTAGGTATTGTTATAAAATAAAGAATAAAAAGAGAATTAAAAGACGATTAAAAGAAAGTATTCCGATAGTAGCACCAATTGTTGATGGTATCTATTGCAAGAGAATGTTTGCAAGATCAGTAGGCCAAACATCTGTATAAACGTACCTGAAATATGTTTTCATTTCACTATTATTATACAATTTGTCAATTTTTAATTCTATATGGAATAAACTTTTATACACAATTAAATATTTATTGTGATCTAATAATTCATGAGCACTATGACCTTAGACCGTTTTATTTCCATCTTTTTATTTCAGCTTAAAAACTCTTAGGGAAAAATTCGAAGGGTTTCGTGAAGAGAATGTTCACTGCTGATATTTGCCTTTCCTTTTCCTTGGCTGCTTCATTTCGTATATGCATGTAGATAGACAATATTCATAACATCTTTATTTCAATTGCATATTTCCTAAATTGCAATAATTGTTAAATGTAAATCTCGCTCCCCTTCCGTACATTACAAAATATGCAAAGAAATTTATATAGGATATATATATTTAAAGTATATATGGAAAAACACTTTAATACTAAACTAGAATAACTTACGTCATCAATGTATCCGAGGAAACCACGCTCATCACAGCTTCCAATCAGCATACTATTATTTCGTGAAGCAATATTTCCTGAACAAATACATGTACATTTATATGGTTATAAAAAAAGACAGAAATGAATTGAAATCTAACTTTATCGTGCATATCGTTATATATCGTGTACATATCGTGTACATATCGTGAATGTATTTTGTAATTATTATGCGGGCGTCACACTGTCCCGAATTTGACACCAGATGGGTATACGAATATTAAGTTTTTAATTTCGTGCGAAGATAGTCCCGAAATTGGTCGACAGTCTCTCAACAGCCGAAACAAGTACGATTCCTACAGAAGGTCACGCGATCGCATCCGAGCCACACACGATTCCAACAGAAGGTCACGCGATCGCATCCGATACACACACGAAGTCACCTCAAAGATGCAATTTTGTACAAAGTAGTTTACCAGCAGGACACGCGAAGGTCACAGGATAGGTACCCGACATCGTATTTTGAGTACGATGCCTTCGTACGTGGTTACTAAGGCGTCAAGTGACCTTCACCTGCGGGTGGTATACAACCCACGGCCAACCGCGCAGATAGTTTTAAGAGCTAATTAACCTACGTTTAAACTTTATTTTGGCTCTTCATATTACTATCAAAAAACAATTCTATTCACACAAAAATCTATAATAAAAGTGATGACTTTGATTATGGTTTAGTAAACTATCCACATTTAGATGGAGACGTACCGCATGCAACATCTGACGGGGTATATGTATCTCAGTAAATTAGATTCGCTAGAAATTTTAGCAACGTGAAGGATTTTAACAAGCTAAATATTTTCATTACTAGCATGCTACTCAAACAGGGCTACCGCTGTTATAAATTACGTAGATATTTCACAAAATTTAACAATCGTAACTTTGATTTAATCTCAAAATTCAGTAGTGATTCAAAAATGATTTTAATGGAGATGTTATTTACAAACTTCGCAAGATCTTTGGCGTTGTTGCCTTTACTAAAATTATTAAACGTTTAACCAAAAGAGGTTTTGACTAAACGTTTTTAGATATACCGCATGTTTAGTGTTCAACACTTTAACAATTAGTCCTTTCCTCTTTTGATTACATCTGACGGACCAAGTGGGATACTCTATGATGGACAGTTCTTATTCCCTTTGGGACTGAATTGCCTTAATGTTCGTCTTCTGCCTTGCTTCGTCGGGCCCTTGTAGGTGATTGTTTGTTACTCTGTGTTCTTTTAAATTATTGAATACTTTTGTTATGGTCATATGGGTATTCCTTTATATGTATCTACATAAACATCTCGGTGTTTTACTTATTTTACCTTTTGAAACCATAACAACTGTTATAAATTTACTTGGCGGGGATTCATTTTATTTACACCGTCTCGTTTATAGGAACATGGTGGGGCTAAGAGTGAGGTTTAGTGCACTATTAACCGGTTTAAACTCCCTAGCAGTGCCTATGCTGCTGATCGGTCCAAGGCGGCGCCCCTCTTGTTTCCTCAGATGCATGTCTTTGTAATTCGTACTGTTTTGATGACACTTTTGTCGGCACCCCTTGTTGTTTTCTCGTCTACGGTAAGTATTTTCCCTTTTGCCCCTAGTTTTATTTATTTAATATATCTACATTGATTTGTTTTCTTTGATTTCCTTGTCGTTTACCATTATTTCGTCTTATGTATCATTTAAATGATAAGCCTATCCGTGCTCTACCTTGCGCCCTGCCTGTTTTTCTGGGGGTACTTTTGTGTTACTTGGTTCTTGTTGCTTGGTTGTGTGGGGGTTGCGTTCATTGAACGTTGCCTTTCCTTGTTGATCTTGTTTATCATATTTGATAAAACGTTTTCATACCACCCAAAGTGGGCCTGTGGGCCTCATTATGTTTTCTAAGGTGTCTTAAAAGTAGCAATGCTGCTGCCTTCATTTTCTCGGTTGACTCATCATCAAATCATGTTATTCTGCAGGAAATAAACTGAAAATAATTGTAAATTAATTGCAAATAATAAAAGCTTTTGATGTCTCTGTAGAGATCTGCAAGAGTGACAGATGAGGAAGATGGTCTAGCCGTTTATATGTCCACCATGATAAACATGCAACGCTTGAGCCACTAAAAATTGCTTTCTTCGTCCTCATCGTAGTCCCATCTCGATGACATCGTACTAAAATACGATGGTGACACGACAGTATTGCGGGGCTTCACGTAGTCGTGTTCCCTTCTAAAGAACAGAACAGAACAGAACAGAAATTTTATTTTCTAGACTGATACAAAGTACATCGTCTTGTTAACATGAATTGAATAATATATACAACATAATCACATGAATATATGTATGGCGAGTCATTATAGTAAATATAAACATAACAATTACAAGCACCAAATTCATGAGAGGATAAACTACAATTGAGAGTTCAAAATTGTATTTCTTAGCTTTAAAGCTTCTTTGATATATTTGCAAACATTTATTAATATTTTTTTATTTTTAATACACAATAATTCAGTAAATTTAAACATAGATGGCCTGTTATAATAGTAACTTTTTATATATTTTTTACGTAAATCTACAAAACTTGAACACACACATATGAAATGATACTCATCCTCTATATCCAAAACATTACAGCACTGACAGTATCTTTGTTCACGAGGAATGCTATTAGTGGCATACCTTCCTGTTTGTATTTTGAGAGGATGAACAGATAGTCTTAATCGACAAAAATACATTCTAAATTTACGTGGTAAAATGTCAAGATAATTTTCGTAACTAAGACACGATTTAAAATGTTTGTAATTACATAAAACAGAACTTCGATCTAGGATACTGGCCCATTCTTGTTTATACGTATCAATAACTCTACTTTTAAATTTTTGAAGAAACAATTTAGGATCTATATAATTATCACTATCAAAAATATCAGCAAAACCATAATCACATAACAACTTCTTCACATTTGAGACCCAATTTTTTACACCCTCTTTTACAATCAATTACACCTTCTCTATACATTGTATTTAAAATGATATTATCCGAGTTTTTCAACTTGCACCAAAATTTAATTATTCTAACATAACGGGACACATATAATGGATATCTTCCTAATTCACCATAAACAGCAGCAGAACAAGTATTAGGTCTTACATTTAATAAGCGTTTGCAAAATTTTAAATGAATTCTTTCTATTTCTTTAGATTTTGTGTACCCCCATATTTCAGATCCATATCCTAAGATTGAGCCTACAAATGCATCAAATAACTGGCATAATGTTTTTGGTTTTAAATCAAATTTCTTACAGTTATAAAATAAAACATTTAGAGCCTTTAATGCTTTCCCTATTAAATGTTCCTGATTAAGTGTGAAATTACCAGTATAGTTAAAAACAGTACCAAGGTAGTTAAAATCATTTACAATATCTAGGATTTGGCCGTCGTAGGTCCAGTGTTCTGTGGGTAGAAGTCCTCCACGCTTTCTAAAAACCATTACTTTAGCTTTAGTAGTATTTACCTTGAGACCCCAAGTATTACAATATGAATATAAAAGATCTAAATTATTTTGAAGTTCTATTTGTGACTTGCCCACGATGGCCATATCATCAGCAAATAATAATAAAATCAATATAACATCATCAAATGTCAAACCAGTTTCAATGTTGACTTGCAAATAAAGTTTCAAATCCTCAACAAAGAGAGAAAATAAAATTGGAGAAATTTCCTCCCCTTGACGTAGGCCAATGGCATAATTTAAATAATCAGAATAACTAGAACATAACTTAACACATGATTTTACATTTTGGTACATATCTCTAATTATTCTTAACATTTTACCTTGGATACCTATTTTATACATTTTGAGCCATAATGCGTTTCTGTAAATACTATCAAAACATTTCATCAAATCAACAAAAACTACATATAAACGTTTATTTTGATTTAAATATTTTTGGATTAAAGACAAAAGAATAAATATAGCATCCATTATAGAACGCCCTTTTCGAAAACCGAATTGAGCATCAGATATAATATTATTATTTTCACAAAAAGTTTCAATTCTATTATTAAGCACAGTGGTAAATAATTTTGAAAGACAGCTAACTAATGTTATGCCTCTATAATTGTTAACATCATCAGTACTACCCTTCTTATGCAAAGGTATTATAATTCCCTCAGTCCATTTCTCTGGATAAAAACCCGAATTTAAAATAGCATTAAATATCTCACACAAATGCGCACCTATTATATCAAAACCTTCTATGAAATATTCATTCATTAAATAATCACTACCTAAAGATTTACCCCTTTTCAATAATTTAACAGCTTTTGAAATTTCCTCTAAAGTTATTGGTTTATCTAATTCTTCAAATGGAGTATTCAAGTCATTAAAAGAATGGCTTTCACAAAAATTTTCCGCATCAATATTTGTACAGTTAAATAAATCACTACTTATGCTCTCAAAATATTCCTTAAATACATGTACAGGGATACCGTTATGTTTTGAACTGGATTTACTCTTAAAATATTTCCAAAATTGTTTCGGATTACTATGCTTTAAATTTTCTAATTCAGACATTTTTTTATTGTAAAATATTTTTTTTCTTTCTGCGCACAATATCTTTATATTTCTTTTTACAATTACATAATATTATTCTATTTGAATCATTAGTACATGTATTAAAAACCCGCAATGCTTCCAAGTATGTATTTCTTGCATTAATGCATTCTCTGTCAAACCATTCAGAGTTATCTAATACTGATTTATCACTAAAATTGGAACATGTGTTAAATTTACAACATTTTCCAAATAAAGGGTCCGCTACGCTCCGAATATAGTCTGATTTTATTGACCTGTCAATTATGAATACATTATAGCACTCATTTAAATATTCGATCCCACTTCGGTTTTTTTCCGTTTACTTTACGAGAATTAATATGGAGTATATCACTTACGTTTGGAAAACTCTCACTAGATTAATGTAGGTTCTTGTAACGTCCGCAATAGCACAGTCGGTTAAGTGATTACCTAATGCATGAGGGGTCCGAGGTTCGATCCCCTTTTTTGACATTCTTTTAAGACTTATTCTTTCTTTATTTTTAAGTATATTTTAATGAAAATGGCCAAGCGCTTGCAATTTGTCTACACGGATATGAACCAACTAAGAAACACTCAATTGTCACATTTTATATTGTATAATTACATTTATTGATTTTAATCGGAATGAATTTTCAGTATTAATTCTTAAACATTGTTATATATAGTCTGATTTTATTGACCTGTCAATTATGAATACATTATAGGACTCATTTAAATATTCGATCCCACTTCGGTTTGGTCCGTGTTGTTTACGAGAATTAATGTGGAGTATATTAGTCATGTTTTGAAAGTCACGACAGCTTAAAGTGAAGGTTTTCGTTAATTCACAATAGGACAGTCGGTAAAGAGAATGCCTGATAATTGAGAGGTCTGTGGTTCGATCCTTACTGTTGGCCTTTATTTATTTTTGCAGTATATTTTAAAGGAACAGATTTGTTGTGTGTTTTACGGCATTGAAAAGGCATTTATTGATTTTAATCCGTTTTAATTTTAAATATGAATTCTTAAAGCATGTTATTTAAAATGAGTATAGACTTTACAAAATTAAGTAAAACATAAGAAACAAAACGAACAACATAAAATAATCATAAATAGCTTCAATAATATTGAACGTTTTAATAAGGAAAAAAAACATGGACCAACGCGGTCTCGAACTTAAAACACGTGTGGTACTTAAATTATAAACTCTTGCTTTACCCTATTGCGCTATAACGCTTGGTACACCTTGTTAAGAGATATAAATTAAATTGAATTCCATCGTGAAGCGTACATCACACGGAAATTACCGAAAATCTACCGAAGATTAATATAATGTGTGCATCGACCGTGTAATCAGTATGTAATTGACAGGTTAATAAAACCAAACAATACAAATGTATAGTATTTACAAAAAGGTGCAAAACATATTTAAAACGGAACACCCATAACTTAAAAAACATGTTGAAAATAGTTATGAATAAAAAAATGGACATACTCTGTCTCGATCCTACAACACGTTGAACAATCAGATAAAATATACCAGTGGTTTACCCTATTGCACTATAACGGTCAGTGTAACTAATTCATAAAAACAAGATGAATTTGATCACATCTTACTGCGCACATCTCACGGAATTTACCGAACATTTATCGAATATTAATATATTCTGTGCATTGACCGTATAATCAGTATGGAATTGACAGGTTAATAAAATCAAACAATAACAGAAGTGAAGTCATTTAATACACTATTTATAGAGTCTCTGTTTGAAAAATCAATATCATCAATAATAGTATTTAGCTCAGGCAATTTAGCTATCAGACCGCTACGAAAATTATTGGTGTGTATACTATCCCATTTAAAAATAATCTCTGAAAAACTATCAGGTTTATTTACATTATTATTACAAAATAAAGAAAAACGCAAAGGCGCATGATCACTCCATTCATTAATAGAATCTATAGTAAAATTGTCCACCAATGAAAAGTTACGTTCATTGGTCAGCAAATAATCAATAACCGATGCGCCTCTAGGAGAAACATAGGTGTATTTACAAGTGTCGCCTAATCTACCGTTAAGAATACGTAAACATGACGATTTACAAAGATCAAGAAGTTTAACACCGTGACTGTTATTTACATTATCAATTGAGGCCCGTAATAGGTTCATATCAGGTGTATAGTCAACATCATCTGTGTATAAATTTAAAAAATCATTAACAATAAAATCATTCTTTTTACCAACCCTACTGTTAAAATCTCCAGTGACAAATACATCACCTTTTTGTTCATATATAAATATATCATTTTCTAAAAGATCAAATAAGTCAGTATTAATAACGTTATATGCAGGAGAGTTTTCAACCCATATATAAGCACCACAAATATAAATATCATTTTGAGTCTTAAAAAAATTATGATCAAGTTTAAGCCATATTATAGTATCGTAATGATTTTTTACTATTTCAATCCCGTTTTTTAAACTATCTCTATAATATAAAGCTATACCACCACTAGATCGTTTGGCATTACGGTGTTTAAATTTTCTATAAAAATTATGTACAATATAATCATTTATTTCAATGTTACTGGTAGAACATGCCCAAGTTTCATATAAAAAACAAACATCACTATTGGAAATAATATTTACAAAAGCATCATTGTCTTTTTTGTCAGCAGATAGTCCATTTACATTCCAAGAAAAAATGTTAAGTTTACCCTCCGCGCAATCCTATTCTCTGACGGCCTTGCCATTCACATACAACGTATCGTAGGCGATCCATGCCCTATCCCCTTTGTTCCTATGCTCTTTCATCTTAGGTACCAAGCGTCTCCTCTTCTCTATCACCTCTTTCGGAAATTGTTCAAACATGTTAAACTGTGTTCCCTGTAGCTGCTTCCATTGCCTACGAACGAATTCCCTATCTTTAAATAAAACAAATTTAGCCACAATGTTCCTAGGTTTTCCTCTACTTCTCTCCCCTATCCTATGTACACGTTCGAATTTCATATCTGCCACTAAATCTTGCGCTACTTTAAGTTTATCTACTAAATGGCTTCTTAACAACCTTTCTGTCTTATGCTGGTTTTCATCATCTGCCTCAGTAATATTAGTAAATATCAAATTGTTTCTCATAGATTGACTAGTCAAATAGATTACCTCATTCTTCAAACTATCCCGCTCTTTCTCAAATTGGATCACTTTGCTCTCTAACTGTGCAACGCTAAAATCTGAGCATTCAACTTTCTCCTCCACACATGAGAGTCTGGCATCAAGCTTCTTATTTCTATCCTCCATTGCATTCCATAACTTTTTTAACTCCCGATCAAATCCATCAACTTTCTTTTCTAACACAGATAAAGAGTCAAGCCTCTTCTCCACGTCACCTATTCTCCCATTATTTTTCTCCAAATAAGCTAGTATATCAGCGTTAGTGGGGCCCTCTTTCGGTCGACCGGTGGCTTCGTTTGACATTTCCGATTCCGGACACGGTCTACCAAACACACTTCCTACATTGTCACTTGTGCAATATAAAACAGAATTTGTCTCATTTAAGATTTCGCTCAAGGAAATTTCCGACTCCTCTGACGGGCCTCTTGGTTTGAAAATCTTACTGTTTTTCTCTTTTTCACAAATATTTCCACTACTTTGTCTGAAGACAATCGGGAATCTTCGTGTTTACCTCGTATTGTCTTCTTGAGGCTAAAAATGCCAGATTGTACCGATGATCACACGAAGAAAAGACAAAGACTACACGATTTGACCAGATGGCTTCACGACGGCCTTACGAATGGCAAAATTGACATACGAATTCAACACGAAAATAAACCTTCGCAATGTCTTCGGGCAAGTTTTTGGCATGCCAAAGATTTTGGAACCGCTCTCGAAGTTGCTACCGGAGCTTGCAATATTCAGCCGGGGATCATACGATGGCAAAAGATGCCCTCACGAATGGCACGATGTTATTACGATCAGATCCGAATTTGAACATTTCCTTATTCGTGTGTCCATCTGATGGCAAATTCGGGACAGTGTGACGCCTGCATATATATCGTGTATATCTCGTTTTTATACATACGGTGTATCTATCGTGTATATATCGTGTATATTATCTTGTATTTATCGTGCATATCGTTATATATGTATATCGTGTACATATCGTACATATATCGTGTTCATGTCGTGTATTTATCGTGTATATATCTTGTTTTTATCGTGTATATTGTTATATATCATTTATATGTCGTGCACTTATCGTGCATATATCGTGTATATGTCGTGTATTTATCGTATATATCGTGTATATATCTTGCAAAAATGTCAATGCTTATTTAGGAAAAAAATACCTGTAAGTTCAACAGTAACATCTGGAATTCCATCGACATGAGCCGTCAGCGCGGTTCCGTTATATCGCATTATTACGTTAGTCCACGTCATTTCCTGTAAATAACAGCAAAATAACTTTTGCTATAAAAGTGCATCAACTGTTATTTTATAATTTTTTACAAAGAACCAACATGATAACATGATTTACATTTGTAATATGCTGTCTAAATATCAGCCAGTTCACTAGAACAACTTTGTATACATGTAAATTAAACGGAACAAAAACGTTCATATTAAATCACCAGTCGTTAAACGTCGGTTTTTTCAGTAAAGAATTATTTTAGTAATCAATAAAAAATAAAACATTAAATCATAAGATACAATACATACTTTATATGGTTGTCGAATTTCTACAAAGTTAGAAACATTGTCAGTTTTTGCTTCTATCTTGAAAATAATTTCTTTGCTTTGTTTGTCCAGTGCAATCTCCACAGAACCTGCTTGTCCTTCAATACAGTTTGATATCAAAACCTTCAATGTTAAAAGCGTAAAATAATAATAGTAATGAGAAATCAGTGATTATCTTAAAATATATTTAACAAATGAAACTGTCCGCAGACGAACATCAATTTTATTATTACATTCAAGTAGTATAATGAATATTCATTATTTGTAATGATAATGCAACACGAAAATAGAAAATCTATCCACAAATACACGATGCACGTTCATCTTCAAATATTATAAAGAGCCAATTTTGGATTATCATTATCTAACATTACTTAAAATGACGTATACAGTAATAATGTTTTACAAAGATGTTTTCCATAATTCAGCTTTATTTCATTTTTTTAAAATGAAACATGAAGCATTTTTTAAAATCTTTTACTAGAAAGTTATGACACACCTGCTCACCAGAAGTATTTCCGGTTGAATAGAATTGAACTCTTACTGTTGATTTCTGTCCAAAATCTTGAGTAGCATAATATGAAACATTGAGTGTTTTATTTCCGTCGAAATATCCAAGATTTAACAGCTCTCCAATTTTGTCAATTGTAATATTGTTTCCGCTTGAATCACGTATGCCTTGACCATCAAAGTTTATCCACAGCTCAGGCTTACACTCTGTTAATTTGATTAAGAATTATGATTTAATTATGCAATGAATCATTAATATTCCGTCAAGTATCACTTTCCGAAATTACCATTTATCTTAAAGGCATCGAATTAGTAAGATGCTATATTGATCTTTAAAACTTTATTTGACACGAAAAGTGACGAAATTTGCCGAATTTTCACGAGCTTGTAATAAGCATATTACTTTACACTATGATGCTTTTGAACTTTTTAAGGTTTTCATTTTTTTTTTATAAAATGCTTAAATAAAAATATATATTCCTTTATTCTTTGGCGTGTCATGTATATAAATACAAGTCAGTTACTACTGTAAAATTACAATAGGATCATCACTGGATTTAGCAAGATCTGATGAACATGATGGTTGAGAAATACAATTTAAAGGCACATTATGTCTCAGAAACGAATATTTTTTGGCCTTCTGTAGATAGGCAAAAATGAGTTTTATAACATTTTAGAATGGGTTAAGAAATTGTTAACTGTTTATCACCTGAGCAAAGTAGCGTACTATTTGTAACAAAAGTAGCAAAATGTTAACAAAGTAATATTTTGACTTCCATACAAAATACTTAATTGCAATAAGTGTACTAATTGCCAAAGGTATAGCAGAGGTTCAGGTAATAGGCCAATGAGTCACTTTAAAGGACACCGAAAAATAAAAAGCATATACTGGTGCGTCATATTTCCATGGTACCCATATTTCCATGGTACCCATATTTCCATGGTACCGATATTTCCAAGGTATTTGACAGAAACAGTCTCAAGTACCTCATAGACTTCATGCACCTGCCAGGTGTTTTACTTGCACTTTCTTATTGTATTTTTATTGAAAGTTAACATATACAACTGAGAAAATTTATTATTTTATTCAGATTAAGAGCAAAGTAAATAATTTCACCATTTTACCTGTAGTTTTTATACCCTTTAAGACAATTGTCTTTGTTTAACAACCATTCAGGTATTTGATAAATGCCATAGAGGAAACACCTATTTTAGATGGTGCTAAGAATAGATGAACTAAAAAATAAAGCTTACAATTGGTTTTGCCTTGGAAATATGAGAATACAACTTTACTCACGGACATTATTTGTCATGTTGTATACATAATTGCTTACATGCAAACATTAAAAGGAATAAACTATGATGTAATTAACATGTCTGTCCTACATTATTCAACATACGTTTGTATATTCCAAAATTTTATTCTTCTAACTTTCGATGTTTGTGTTTAACAGTTAAGTACCACGGAAATATGAGACACCAGTATTCCATAAAAATCATTATCACACACCCGTGCCGATTTTGCGACTCCGTAAATATGGTATTGCAGGCCGTGCATATATTTTGACGTGACGTCATTAGCGTTATATAAACATAGTGTAAAGACGCGCTAAATGTTAGCGTTTAACTATAGGCGCGTCAATGAAAAATGACTCTTATTTAACTTAAAACGGTCTTTATTTTGGGTATTTGATAAATAGAATATTAAATTCGTGTAAGTTCATTACTGAATTTATTGCACTCGTTGAATAAAATGATATTATGCTCGCCAGAGGCTCGCATAATATAATTTTATTCAACCCGTGCAATAAATTCAGTATTGAACATACACTCATTCAATATCTTCTATTTATTATTTCTGAGGCATAATGAACCTTTATACAAATATAAAAGATATGATTGTTTAAGTACATGAGTGAACTTATTAAGACAAATACTTAATTTATGATGCTAACCAATACATTTACATGCATGCACATTGTAAAACGACTCTGGCTGGCAATAACGAATTATCCACATATAACCCGCGGAACCGGTTGTTAATTCTTCATATTCCCCCTTATTCTCACGTGGCCAGAAAGTACAAAGTTGACCATCTAAAATAAACAAAACAAGTATAACTTAATGATAACAGTGTATTAGTTGACATTTTTTTTCAATTGAATGTTATTTTGTTTTATGTACATTATCATGATTAACAAACCCTCCGACAGCCCGTTCGTCCATCCATGATTTTAAAGTTACTCTCTGCTGAGAGGATGTCGAAGCATTGTCTAAAATAGCTTTTCATGTTAACAAGTTCCTGTTGATTTATTCATTACGCTTTATGGCGCTGTGTAATAGGACGTTACAGAAAAACATTATTTTAGAAAACAGTGGATATACAGTGTCACTTTGCGATTTTCCAGTCTTCAGACAGAGACTGGCAAACGGACGGTCAACGATTAACCAATGAATTTATCAGAAAAAAGGAGTTGAAATGATAAATATCTTTTTAGAAGGATTGACATTGGTCATTTGATTTAACTTACGCGTTTTGTTTGTCTGTACAGCTACATGTTCCCCATGACCTAAAAGAAAACGATACATTACAAAAATGAATGCTAAAATAGCATAGATATGGTAGTTTACTGTATAAAAGATACAAAAAGCCGACTCGGTTTTATACAAAAACTGTTTAATAGAGAATAACATGCTACTGTCTTTTGATATCAATTTTATCAGGCGAGGCTGATATGGGCTAGAAAGGGCGAGGCTTGCCGAGCCCTTTCGGCCCATATCAGCCGAGCCTGATAAAATTGATATCAAAAGACAGTAGATCTAGCATGTTTTTCTATTTATCATGTAACACATAATAACTGTCAAAATAACAAAATAATATACTTTAAAATAGCGAATTTCGTTAAAAAGGGGGATTTTTGTTCAAAGAAATAATTCTTGAAAACAAATTCCCTCCGCCCCTGAAACTTAGAATTTGTAATTGGCGGCCATTTTTTCTTTCGACTCGGATAAAAGATACAACAAAATGTAGGCCAAATACGATAACATTCTTACCTTTAATTTTAAAAACATCGATCCAAAAATCCGCTTAGAATCACATAAACTAAACTTTACTGCAATTTTTGTCTTGAATTGTCAAATTCAAAAGTTCACGATATTTCAATCAAAGAAAAGTCAAATCGGCAATCAAACACAAGCTACACAAACATGCGTCTTATTTTTTAAATTAAACAATTTGTTCACTTATTAAATAATAATCCGGCGAAATAAAGTAAACATTTACAAGTTCTCAAAGAAAATCGTCTAGCCTGTTTGTTCTGATTACATGTATAGTATGACGTGAACATCGATGATGTCATTTGCAATATAAATTATGACGTCACTTCATTTAGTTATTCGCTATCTAATTTATTCGTAATTGAAATCGAAATAATAAATAAATAAATTTCGCATATTGATTCAAGACTTGTAAGGGTATGAGATCACATTGTAAAATTCACATGCTGATGAAAATGAGAATATAAGCAATTGAAAAAAGTCCGTTAAAATGGGCGGAGCTAATTTTTGATATCAGGTTACTGACGTGATATCAAAAATAATTATCAGGCAAGTGTTATCGGGCAGTTACCATAGCAGTTGCATGATAAAATAAAATATGTTAATATACATGTATATTAAGTAATAACCTACTAGCAGCAATTGAGTCTATAAATGCACCAAGTGCAGAAAATAACCAGCGTGCACTTCTGTGCCATCTGCTCATAGTCAACATTGTTCGTTGTTCAGTCAGTATATATTTTGGTAATTTCTTTTAATATGATGAACGGACCTTTGAAGATTTAAAGATGATCAAGTCTATTTAAGATATTAAGCAGACAATGTGTTTAGATATTCCGTTTAAGTTAATTTGATCTGTTTGCTAAATAAACTTACAGTTTCCTTTCTGGAAAGGCAACGACAGCATAAAGGCAATGGCTATCGTCAACAGGTGCATCTGTACTTGCAGTATAAATAAGCGGTGATTTTAATAAATACAAAAAAAAATGTAATAATGTAAAGACATTACCATGTCGCGAAAATAAATGTCATTTTCTCATTTAATTGCATTAATTATCATTATATAAAGATTTTTAAAAAATAAGGCGTAAAATTAGGCGTTAAACTGATTATCCTCATTTTGATAGAGGAAATCATATTAAACTAACTCTGTATAAAAGATGAAATAAATAAATAAATTAATGTCTCTAAATTGCGGTTGTTTTAAGAAAAAAATGTTTGCAAACCAGTGGCGAAAGATTTATTATTTTAATCATATTAATATGTTTAAATGCTACAGTAATTTAAATGTAAATGCAAAAAAGTAAAGAAAATGTATAATACATTAAACAAATAACATACGAACTATGTTTTTGTCATTTTGCGACAATCTTAAATGTCAGTGGCGTATAATATTATAATTATAATAGTTTATGTTGAAAACATAATCATTAGAAAACAGTTTGTTTATCTTAAACAACTCAACTCAACTTATATTTGTTAAAGTCTTAACTTCGTATACATATTCACATATATATCAACATTTAAAACATTTTACATAAAACAAAGTCATTTCTTAAATAAAACTACAGGTGATTAAGTAAACATCATAAAATTCTAAAATAAAATCAGTAAGATATTAACTCATATTGGATTACTTTAGGTTCAATATAGAAATGATATTTGTTAAGCGGACATCTGCCAAAGAACGCATGTAGCATGTGCAACACAATAGCCATCCTATACCAGAGTCTGACCAGTCCTGACCCGCACGCACCACCAGCTTCTCATAGAAGTGTCGTGAGAGGCACGCGTGACGACCAGGCAAAGTCCGGCACAAGGGGATCCTAGTCTGGATTACCTGCCTGGGTTACCACGTTAGTCTGTTTTCCTGCCTATCATTCTGCATATCAGACCCGATAACGTAGCAACAAGCAATTGAAGAAAGTAGGCAGGGAATCAGACTACAGGTGACCTAGAACGTCACACTCCACAATCATCCAAAGGCCAATGATCGCCTGACACACATAATATACTATATATTTACTAAAATACGCATATCCTTAAATCAAAAATAGGGTTAAATATATTTTTTGTCAAAGTATTGATATGTTTATCAAAGTTCTGAAAAACACCGCATGATCATATAATCTTTTTTTACCTGATAATGGTTAATTATTCATATCAAAATCATTTGTTTGTTTGAAACAAAATGTATACTTGTATAATTGCTGTTTGATTGTTTCAATTCTTCTGTTAATTGCCATTTAAGTAACGTATATCAGAACGAAACTCGACATGAGAAAAGTCAATATCGAGCAAGGTTTGTACGCGCTAACCCTACTGTTTTGCAAAACATAGAAACACTGAACAACTGGCTTAAATGAGCAAAGTGAGACCAACTGAATGGTGCATTTATTTCAATATTTTAAGTGAATTTATTTTCTTTTAGGAAATAAATCGTTTAAATTTTGCGGTTATCAATGCATGAGGGTCTCAACACTTGTCTAAGTTTTATAAGAAGCCCGCAGGCAACATATTGAGCCCGCTGTCACATCTGACCGTGAGGTATGACCTTGAGCTTTGACCTAGTCAAACGTTTCTTGCGCATGAATTGCCATCTCATGATGCTGAACATCTGAGCCAGATTATTTAAAATTCCGTCTGCTAGTGATAGAGTAATGGTGCGGACAAGCTGCTTGATACCAGTTTTTGCATTTGACCTTTCAGTATGACCTTGACCTTTGACCTAGCCATACGGTTCTTGCATGCGAATACCATCTCATGATGTTGAACATTTACGCCAGGTTATTTGAAATTCCACCAGATAGTGATAGAGATATGGTGCAGACAAGCTGTATGATACCATTTTTTTGCATTTTACCCTAAAGTATGACCTTGACCTTTAACCTAACCACAAGGTTCTTGCGCGCAACATACCATCTTAAACACATGTTATTTGAAACTCCATCTGTTAGTGATAGAGTAATGGCTCGGACGGGCTGTTTGAGAACATTTTCGTGCATTTGCCTTTAAAAAATCATGACCTTGACCTTTGACCTAGACACATGGTTCTTTCGCATGACACGCCGTCTCATTTTTGTGAACATTTTTGTTAAGTAGTTTGAAATTCTGCCTACTTATGACAGAGTTACCACATGGACAAGCATTATCCGGACGGTAGTAAGACCTTGACCTTTGAAGCAGCCACATGTTTATTATGCACAGCGCGCCCCTTCATGATGTTGAACATTTGTGCCAGGTTATTTTTAATTCCACCTGCTAGTGATAGAGGTATAGTGCGCAAAAGCTGTTTGATACCATTATTTCGCATTTGACCTTACAGTATGACCTTGACCTTTGACCTATCCACATGGGTCTTGTGCGCGATATGCCATCTCATGATGTTGAACATTTGTGCCAGGCTATTTGAAAATCCACTAGCTAGTGATAGAGTGATTGTGTGGACAAGTTGTCTGAGACCATGTTTTGCACATGACCTTAAAATATTACCTTGACCTTTGACCTAGTCAAAATAGTCTTTCGCATGTCACGCTGTCTAATTATTGTGAACATCTGTGCTAAGTTATTTGAATTCTGCAAACGTATGATAGAGTTACGTCCCGGACAAGCGTAACCAGACGATGTATGTTGTTCATAGTTTGAACAAAAATTAGAAAGTAGTCCGCAGTAGACATTCAAATTGTTAACAGTGTTAAAATTGTAATAAGAAACTTGTAATTTTATTAATTTTATCGCTGCGTACAGTTCGAAAACCTCCAACAGCACACTAATCGTTTTGAGACATGCGTAAATGTAAAGATTCTGCCAATCTGCAAGGATGTAATCCGACATTGGTGGTATGACATTGACAAACGGGTACAGGTTTCCTATTTTCTCAATGGGTTTTGGTATTCCTGATCGAGTTGACCACAGTTTGCAGATTAATAAATGATGCACATGTTTAAAATCTTTATTTGGCACAAAATTGCCCTTTTTCGAAATTTATAATCTTATGATTACTCAGTCATTCGTGTTCGTACAATTTGCAGTTTCGAGATGGACTTGTATATTATAAGAATATTTTCTTTCTTCTGCGTTAATGGCAAAAAAAATATGATTTGATGCATCTGTAAGATAAAAAATTTAATCGTGTAATATTTGTTACGCAATCATTGTTGTGTATCATCATCTGTCGTGACTTTAAATTTCCAATTTTTGTTTGACCGATGTTATTTAGAAAGCCATTTATTTTTTGTGATAGATGTCTAACAAATTGTATTTTCGTACGTGGGTGAACTTTAATCATTATAGCTTTTGGCATCCGAAACATGTAACGCTCACTCTTTTTCTACGTTAGTCATCCGTAGCAACAATTTCGCGCTCAGTTGTCCCTCTCTTATTACTGTTATTAAATGGTTAGAGGGGACCAAGACCTAAAGACCGGCCGTCCCCCATGTCCTTAAATTGGCTGTGTCTTATGTGAACAGGGATGTTTTCAGCTTTTCGACCAAACGGCTATTACTGGATTGTCGAAAGATGCAGACATGTGTACGTATAGGTCCGTACAAAATAAATAAATAAAATAATTATAAAAATGATAATAATAATGTATAAAAGAATTATAAAAAAAATGAAAAACGAAAAAAAATGGGCATGTTAGTTCTCCTGTTCAAATCGTTTCCTGTCGCTTAGCTCAGTCCTTGTCTTGGATGGTTACATTCCATAAAGAAGCTGAGGTACTACTACCAATTCCTGCAGCTGTGTCCGCGTCTCTGTTTTGTGTGCTTGTTATCTTCGAGTAAATATGTACAAAAAGATGGAATCATATTACGTTGCATGAAGTTCATGTAATAATCTACAATATGCATTGATATGCCCTCAATACACGTTATCTGTATTTCGGTGCAATAAATGTTGTCCGTCAACATCATCTCATTGTATACTGAGATATCTGAAAGTTCATATTCAGTTCTTATTATCATAGCTGTTCAAGCATTTTTGCAGGAACCTGTCTTTCATATTTTATCATTACAGTTTTCATATAAAATTTTCATTGTCATTTAGTTTAACCAAATGCTAAATAAAGTCACGGCCTTACCCATACCATTAATGCAGGGCCCTTGCATAACAAAAGAATACGTTTGTTTCGGTAATGCAACTTTCGTTATTTCTTTTTCGTATAAAGAAATCGGTTTCTTACCCTAAAAATCGCTCCGTCCGTGCTTTGCCTTGTGCCCTGTCCTGTTTTTGTTTGTGATTCTGCTGGTCTCTTTCCGTTGGTCTTGTGTTGCTGGGTCGTTTGGGGATTGCGTTCGTTGAACGCCGTTTTTTTCCATGTTGATCTTGTTTTTCACATTTTCTTCACGTTTTTCACGTGCTAGTGCGAGTCATGATACTAGTATTTAGCTTCTCCGTTATTGTTTACCAGCGTTCGCAGTTTTTATGCTAGAACAAATAATTATAATAGGCATCGTAGCAAATTTTTCTATGATATTGGTAAACCTGTTATCAAATTCTCATGCACATTTGTCATGCACATCACAAGATTTTTAAAATGATAAGAAATATTTATTAGACAACCCCCTCCCTCCCAAGGAAAAAGATAAAACATATAATTTACTCACTGTCTTGTATGTAGATTCTTGTAATGTTTTCCAATGCACAAATTAAACAACAACTTTGATGATAAAGGTACTACAGACACGCGTCTAAGACATTGAAATAATTAACAAATGAACTTTAATTTATACAATTTTATAGTCGGGAGAATATTTGTACATAGTCATCATGACTAATTATTTTATAACAGGGAGTGCAAATTATGCACCATTATATGATAGAGGACTTTATGATAAATTGAAGATTCTTAAAAATTGCTTTACTGCAGAACATAATGACCTTCTATTTATCACGACTTTCTTTTTTATCTAAAATTGCAAAAAGAATAACGTATGATGCGGTTTTGTGTTATTATAATTTTAAGAAAAATTCTAGCGCGTGTTTGCCTTGATTTAAATAGTAGTCAACCTTTTTGCACGCTAACTAAGAGTTAATGTAAGGTGACATTGATGGAAATGATGACAACTAAACTAGAATTACAAAATAATTTGTTTCGTTAAAATTTCTGCGATATTTGATGTTTTCTTTTTTCTTCTCTTCGTTTACCATTAGATTTGAATTATTTGTAATTGTAACCGATATTGTATATGGGCAACAAATATTGGTTGTTTTGATGTAAATCGATCCAAAAGTATATGTAGTAGCGGGGTACAGGATAACAATCAAATACCACTGTTAACCACATATAATTACTTGATTTCCGTATTTACATGTTTCATTCGGGGCGTCGGTGGCCTGTTGGTTAAAGTTGTTGACTTCAAACCACTTGCCTCTCACCTCTGTGGGTTCAAATCCCGACAACGACTTTGGATTTTTTCTTGTAAGGAAGCTATCCAGCAAGCTAACGGAACGTCGGTGGTTCTACTCGGGTGCCTGTTTGTACCTAAAAAAATGCAAGGGAGGGAACCCTAGGTCTACTTTTGCAAATAAAACTGGACCTATACTGTGTCGGTGTGACTAAAACCCAATAAAACAAACATGTTTCATTCTTCAGTCTTGTCTAAGCCTTCAAAACAACATATAATATGAACAATTAAACCTTCTTCAATATTTTAAACCAGCTATTTAAATTGACAGGAACTCATTCAATGCACATCTTTAGACATATACATTAGATATAACGAAGGAACGTTATGTCGTTTCACGTGCATCACACAAAAATCTACCGTTTAGCTAGATGTGCCAAAAAGAAACTTACGCGAACAACAAAAATCACGATGCCTGTCCGTAATACGAATAACATTAGGGCCGCGTCACGACAAAACCAACATAATGGGTTTCAAACTTTGAGACCACCATGGATCCAGACCAGCCTGCACATTCGCGCAGTCTGATCAGGATCCATGCTGTCCGCTTACAAACCCTATTTCAAGTAGAGCATGGATCCTGATCAGACTGCGCGGAACCATGCTGGTCGCAAACGCAATACGTTGGTTTTGTCGTGATGCGGCTCATTTATATTGAAGTGATTTTAAATATTAAACTCCCACCAGACTTCGTTCATCTCTACAATGCAAGTTGCAAACAATCTTGTATTGGGGAGCGCAAGGTATCTTATTATTGATGTTCTGTGGCTATATTTTGTTTCTTGCACAGCAGCTCTGTTTGCCTTGTTGATCTTTGTTCTAATTTTCTATACCTCGTCATTTACGGTGATTGTTCGATATGTATATTGTGTATGTGTATTGTAACACAGCACGATAATGCCTTGAACGATTTCGTTGATGTTGATACGCCTGAATAGCTCTAATCAATACTTTTCAAACGGTATAAAACACGAGCCTTCAGCTAAGTAAAGTTTTATTTAATACAGCTAGTCGTGAACCATTGTAAAAATGGTTGGGAATGGGTTGGTTATATTGACGAAACTAGTGCTTATATAAAAAGTTGCACAAAAATGGGCCAATCTATTTTATTTAGTTGGGGTCGTTTATGAGTATGATAAAGTATCATGACTGTGAGACACCTGTAAAGTTGAGAAAGTCAAAGATGCAGTAAAATATGGCCTACCTTTGACCGTAGCAGGCAAAACAAATATCTAAGGATAATGAGGCAAAGTGATGGCAGGTACACGATTCTTGGCATTGCCAAAGCTTTTGGCATATCGCTGTGATGGTGAAACCGTACACAGTTCGGTGCCATACAGGTTGGTATATCTACTTTATGATTATGCTCCATCATATACATCTAAGCTTGTGAAGCAATGTATAGGTCGAAGAAGGTTATCGTCTTGCCTTACTCACATTATTCTCCAGATCTGGTCCCGTGCGGCTTTTTCCTCTTCCCCAAAATTTTGAAAGTTCTTATCTGGTCGTCAATACAAATCTCAACAGATCCTTGACTCAGCCATCAGTCAGTGTCCTAGAAGTCTACCTTGACGTATCTCATAAATGAATTCAGAATTTTAAATATGATTCGTGCCTTCCCATCGATTCGTGACCTAAAGAAATGTCTGGTAGAAACACTTTTGCAAGGACATACACCATTCGAAAACAAAACAGGTTTTAGCAGATTCTCGATTTGACAATTCTATCCAATCAAAATGCGTAATTGTACAGGTGTTAATGTGCTTACCCTACAGTCTATTTGATGACCTTTTTACTTTAAAATATTCAATATTGATGTTATAATTATCAAATACACTTACAATCAAGCAAAATAAATATTCATTATGCTGTAAAATTTTACTTAAGTCATTGAAACATATATTGATCAGATCGGACTGAAATAACCATGCCTACATTTAGTTGTGTGAACACGTATATTTTGATGACGGCACAGGGTGAATCTGATTTCACGAATTCATGGGTAAGCGTCCTGCTTAGCAAGACAGTCATGGTTGACATGTTCAGATGTTTTAATCTTTGAGTGGTTCTTTAAAGAAATAATTTAAAGTTTAAGAACTATTAGATATTGAATTTACTTAACAAATGCACTAATTGCATTGTATCTGTTGCGCATGAGCAACATTGCAAAATATACTGCAATCGACGAGAGACAAGCATAATACGGTATATAATTTCAAAACGCGGATAACGCTTTAAAGGGATGAAATGTTCATTAGACTATTTGAGTCGAATGCCTTTGAGATAACGAACAATACATAAGTTTAAGTTTGTAAGTGTATAAAGTATGGTTCAGATTGATTCATGATACAGAAGATTGGTTCGCGTGAAGTCTTAGTGACCAAGGAGATACAAGGTCTTGGATTCAATCCAAAAAAATGTAAACTTGTCATATTTCGTTTTCTTTCTGCTATAATATGTTTCTTTTTTCTTTCACTGTAGCTTTTTATCAATGGATGCTGCCAGGACATCTTGGTTTTCGCCAAGGCACTTAAATTTAAATCCACTGTCAATTGTTTATAATTCTTTCTGTGAAGCAATAGGCAAATGAAAGGAAATTAGAATTATTCTTTCACGCGTTACGAGTAGGACAGCGTGAAAGCTTTGTCTTGGCGTAACAGGTTTTATACATTGGATATAAGTCGTTATAATCGTTCGAGCGTATAACAGAGAATTTAATGTGTTGTAAAATCATTCTAGCCGAACTTTCCAGCAGTACACACTTCATTTGCAATGTTAAAAAACACAGCGGCATGCAAGGCGGATCAGCACAGACAGAAGGAAATGATGTCCGGGCTGCAGGAAATAGGATGCTTTCAAGTATTTGACGGCTGGTCAATTCAAAACTCATCGAATTTGAGCTCCATCTTAATGCTTCTCACCGGGAATTATCTGACACGCAATTGCAAAGATTCAGCAAAGTTTGGTTGCAAATGACACTTACAGTTTCAAAGGAACAATATAAAGTCAATGTGCAGGTTCTCAGCAAATTAAAGGAAGAAGGTGGTTTAATAACAGAGACAGCTTCTGGCAGCGTCCCTAGCGCATAAGCAGCGGAGGAGAAGGTCGTTGAAGGCATAGACATTCTTTATCACAGGCAAATATTAGCACACACGTCAGATCTTGGCTGGCGTCGGGTTCAGGAGTAAGACGCGTATCCCCTTGCCGACGACGAAGATGATAAAATGAAAATCTATCGGGCTACGCAGATAATGCAGATTTTGTTTTAACGGTACCCTTTTCGAATTTCAGCCGCACGTAGTAAATCCTCTGGCAGATCGGGTAAGCTTACGATGGTTTTAGACTGTCGTCATATAAATTCAGAGTTATTCAAATTCAAGTGCATCTTTAAAGATCAGTCCGTTGCTAGAAATAGTTTCAAAGAGGTAGATGTTTTGTTTCGTGTTTTTTTCAAACAGTCATTTCACAATTTTGAAAGCGATGTTGTTTATAATTTTAACCGCTGGGCAGGTATTTTTCACGATTACGAGAACAAGCATCTCGTTGTCCATTAAGCCGCAGGTAAACTGGCAATACGATCTTGCCCATAAAGAAAATGAGTCTATAATTTCGATTTTTTTCTTGTTTCAAATTTCATCATTTTTTTTCAAACAAAAATAAACAGTTTAACTTCCACGGTCAACGAACGTTTTTGTGATTTTCGTCTAATGCCTATCTGTAAAAACCGGTTTGATTGCACTGCTAGAAATAGCTTTCAAGGTCATATACGGTTGTTGTCAGATCTACATGTAACTGAACTTAAGTCATTTGATTGTTGAAAATTTCATTGAGACATTATTTTCAATAACACGAAATATAGATAAATACATGAGACTTCGTCTTATATCAAAATACAACATTATTTGAAGGTATCATTACAACAACATCAGCACTATTTGAAAATGATTTTTATATTATTTGCAACTACACATATCATAGATTAAAATTTAAATTGAAAACTATCCATTTACAATATATATCCTTTTATTATCCAATAAATGAAAAAGAAATATGCTTTTAACTACATGTACTATCAAATAAAAGAAGTTTAAATTGGATTATGCGACTGAGCGTGCAAAATACAGCGCACTAAGTATGGTTTAATTGTAAACCCGGAAATATTAAAGTCGGATTTGCATGTAAGGACTATCTAAAGACCATTTTAAAGGCATATTATTTTAGTTCCATAAAGTCTGTATGGCTATTTCTCATTTAAACGTTGATTTGCAGTTATGTTAATATATGCAATTACGAAGTACGTGGTTTTCTTGGCAGGCTGTTTCCATTACTTTTGACATCACTTCCTGTTATCGAAGAAGGAGACAGAGACACACTTGAATCTTTACAGTAGGAGCTTCCGGTCTTCGATTTTCGATGTTTCTGTGACAACGATATTGCTGCGTGTCTGGTACTGGTAAAAGACAGTACCATAAGACCAAAAACTATAGCTGTTGTTGTACCAAGAACACTGAGGGATAACTTGAAGGTTGTTGTTTCTGAACATTTGTTACATCCTGTCTCAGCACCTATATATTAAAAAGCATTTGTTAATTCATTGATACAAGAACATGACATGCTAAGGAAGAAATTTCTCTTAAACTAAATGTTTTAAGATATTCGGTCAATCGTCCCTTCATAGCATATTATTGTTAGATATAAATGTATATTTTCCAATCACTCAGAAGTTTTTTTAACATAATTTATCTTATGTTTCAAATACCTTTCGCAAAAACATTTTTTTTTTGGAAAATTCATCATAGAAGATTGTAAGGCTGTTTCTTTTGGGTTATTGGTTTCAAAGCTTTTAAGTGTTAGAATTAATATTCCGATGAAGGCGGTGCTAGGGGACATGGTAGTTGTTGCAGTTTACATGCATTGTCTCTCATGTACATGGCTAAATCAAAGTGATGTAAGTTTCTTTCTTAATATTTGCACAAAAGACCGGTGGGGACATCGCAATTCCATGAATTTCCGATTTCATCTTCGTGAATTAAAAAAATTGAACTTAAATTTAACGAATTCTTTAAGAATTCATGATTTTAACTTCATGTATTAACGATTTAAACTTCACGAATTCAACTTCGCGAATTTACGTTTTGATCTTTACGATTTCAGGTTCGTTAATTCGTGATTTCAAATTCACGAATTCACGATTTAAACTTTTCAACTTGACGAATTCAATAATTCATATTCACAAAGATGATGTCGATATTGCAATCGTGCAGTTGAAATTGTAAATTTGTGAAGGAGACATAGTGAGTTCGTGAAGTTGAAATCGTGAATTCATGAAGTTGAAATCTTGAATTCATGAAGCTGAATCGTGAGTTCATGAATTTTGTTTGTTGAAATCGTGAATTCATGAATTTGAAATTGTGACTTTTTAAAAGATGAACCTGAAAATTCAAGAAGTTAAACTGTAACCACCGGTCCTCTCGTTTGTTTTACTTGCCAGCTACTGTTGACAAAAGTCCATTTTTTGTATTTATATTATACTTAATTTCATCAGAGACTCTGAAATCACCAGAATCATTACCATATAACTGGCATATATATACTAGTATTATGATAATCAAAGTTGGCAAACAAAATATGAAATGTTGTGAAATATTTCCACTTATTACTGTCATTATTAAATAAGATGTCAATATGTTATCATACATCAATAATAGATACACGCACGTTATAAAGGACTTTATAAGTCTTCAACAAACTTTAACAAATTGGTGTTTAATTGTTTAAATGTGGTTGAAAAATGTCATATCTTTACAATATTTGCTTTAAAAATCAATAAACTGCAAAACTTCCACCACAGTATGAACACATTTGTGGATATTTTTCAATTGCAAATTAATCAATATTGCAATATAATAAAATATTTCTGATGTCTGATTGTTAAGATTATTATGCACGCACACTTACCGTGAGAAGTAATGTTGACTGAAGCAGTCACGGACATGTCGGATCTTTCATTTACATCTCTCTTTCTTCTGGTGGGATCACAATGTGCCTTAAATGTACAATATAACTTTATCATACATTTATTGCGTTTATCGATTAAAAGTAATAGAGATTGGACAACAAGAGAATGTTACACAGCCTTAATCAGATGTGGACAAATAAACATTGTTGGTATATTTGAAGTCTTACGGAAAATACTAGAAAGTGGATTTCATCATACATCATGTTAAAAATGTAACAAAATTAGAGAAAGTTTAACAGAACTATATTTCAAAATTGACGATTTAAAGGAGAATTCGTGACGTAACACGGCAAAATCAGTAAAACATACTGAAAATCACTTAAAAAAGCACGAAGTAAAAAGAACATTTATTTGTTTTCATGTAAGATTGAAATATATTTCATTCGTGAACACCAGATATTATATTTTTACTCGTGGCTACGCCACTCGTGAATATATTGCATCTTGTGTTCACTCAGTGAAATATATTTCTATCTCACATGCAAAACAAACAAATATCCTCTAAATAATCATAAAAAATATCTGTCATTATAAAACAATTTTGTAAGAGTATAAACATAATCACAATTTTATAATGTTGTATAAAAATACTTTTTTTGTTCATTTAACTTTTAGGTTTTGTTTCATAAATGCATTAATACTGACATTTATGTTTGCATATACTGAAAAGAAAATCGTATTTTATAGGTCGTTCGTAAAAATGATTGTAATTTTTGAATGGGCGCTTATTAATAACATACGAGATAGACCGGTCAATTTTCTTTGAAAATAAAAACATAATTAATTCAGTCACACAGTCGTTATTTAAACGAAAAATAAAAATTTTAAAAATGTTTTAAAGAGTTAAACTTATGGCATATATATGAGCCGCGCCATGACAAAACTAACGACCATCATGGATGCAGACCAGCCTGTGCATCCGCACAGTCTGAACAGGATCCATGCTGTTCGCTATCAGTTTCTCTACTTGTTATAGGGTTTGTAAGCGAACAGCATGGGTCCTGATCAGACTGCGCAGATGCGCAGGCTGGTCTGGATCCATGCTGGTCGCAAACGCATTACGTTGGTTTTGTCATGGCACGGCTCATATTAGCCATGCCTTCTTGTGTAAAGATAGAAAGCTGAGATCTTCAGCCAGTGACTCAGAATGATTGGGTTTGTGCAATAGAGAAAATGAACATGCAACATGACTTACATCTTCTACCAACATGGGTTAACGGGAATTAATATTCTCATGTAACCAGTTCAGACCAAGATCAGCCAGTCCATTCATCTCACCTACATTCGCGGGGCGTCCGTGGCCGAGTGGTCAAGGTAGTTGACTTCAAACCACTTGCCCCTTACTACTGTCGGATCGGATCCCGACAAGGACTTTGAAATCTCTGAAATCTTTGAAATGTGAGGAAGCTATCCAGCTAGCTTACGGAACGTCGGTGGTTATACCCAGGTGCCCGTTTGTTCATGAAGTAAGGCACGGAAGGGCATTTTAGGTCTTCATTCAAAAGTAAAGCTGGAACGTCGCAAAATGACCTATACTGTGTCGGTGTGACGTAAAACCCAATCAAACAAACAAACAAACAAACAAACCCTATCTGTGATTTATAAAGGTTTTCCGAAACGAAACATGATAATAACTTACGGCTCCACACTGCCCAGCGGTTACTGCGTCATCATCTAAACAAAGTGTGATGTCACATTTAAAATACAAGGCATTAGCAACATTGATAGGATTCTTGGTAAATGCAGACATCTCGAATTTAGGTGAGTATGCAATATAAGTCTTTGTAGTACCAACCTTAAACAAGAAACAAGTGTGCATCAATTATAATATTGACATAAACTTAAAATAACCAGTAAAGTCCTACACAGCAAAACTTAAAGCATCTTTGTAAGAAAATGATTTCATTATAGTATATGTTAAGAACGTCATTTGTCATCTTATTTTCGTTACTACAGACATAACTTCATATTACTTTAAAAATGATTTAATAATTTTCTTATCAAAAGTACTAATACTGTGAATATACTGATAAAATGTAGTTAATGTATGAAGTGTAGTACAGACTAAAATATCCAGCATCTTTTCTTACCACTGTTGATGCTCCATCTTTGACAAAACCTACATTTATGTGCACGTTGTCAAATATATCTACATTGATGAAACACCTGCAAACATTTATCTAAAAATTACTTCTGATATTTGATACATATTATTTCGTTATACAATTTTTAGTTCATTTATTTTGGTCTCATGAGTCAACAGTGAACTATTTATAAATAAATAATGTTGAAGATGGTAATGTATATACTATAAGATTACAAACACGTCTCCTATCATAACAGTGGAGATCAACAGAGATATATGAGCCGCGCCATGACAAAACTAACATAGTGCGTTTGCGACCAGCATGGATCCAGACCAGCCTGTGCATCTGCGCAGTCTGATCAGGATCCATGCTGTTCGCTTACCAACTCTATTACAAGTAGAGAAACTAATAGCGAACAGTATGGATCCTGATTTTAGCCAGCGCGGACGCGCAGGCTGGTCTGGATCCATGCTGGTCGCACACCCACTATGTTGGTTTTGTCGTGACGCGGCTCATATATTGTAACGAAACTGATAGTTTGAAATAAATAAGAGGCACTGAGTAATGGTCTCCTAGGTCCTAAGTTCTGGTTTACTATCATGCGTTTGTTACACAATGACGGCAAGGTGAGAAAATAGCCCCACTATTCTTCGAATAGTCGATCTTAAAACGTATACACTTAAATAAAATGTTACTGTTCGTTGTATTTTTCTTACCCACTGGCACCAATAAATGTTATTGCTGGTGAATTGAACCCTGGGACTTTGTCAACAACGCAGTTGGTAATACGTGCACCAGCGAAATCCATTTTGGCTGAAAAAGAGACATCTTAGCAATTATACCCTTTTTCTACCTTTCCCATACTTGAACCTTATTTCTTTGTCTATAGTTTTTTTCTTGGCGGGCCGACTGGGCGGACGGCGTCCATTTTTTGTCCGGAGCATATCTCCTACACACATGATGGAATTTTATTGAAACTTCATAGAAATGTTAACGACTATGATAGACCGTGTTGCACGCATAATCTAGGTCTCTAGTTCAAAGGTCAAGGTCATACTTAGAGGTTATAGAAAAACGCTTGTACGGAGCAAAACTTCTATTTGTATATAGGTTATTCAAAATAACTTGGCACAAATGTTTTCACCATTGTATGGCGGAGTGTCGCGTGCAAATTTAAGTCCATGCGGCCAAGATTAAGGTTACACATGGAGTCAAAGTTCAGATAGAAATATGAAAATGTGTATTTGGACCATTTAGTTATGCTTATTTGAGGAATTGAAACACAAATGGTCATTATCATGACTAATGGTGTAAAACATGTGATATTGGTTAATACATGCACGATCAAGGACACTAAATATGATAGTCAAGGTCACTAAAGATGATAGAGATTTTGTCCAAAGCATATCTCCTACACATATGAGGGGAATTCTACTGAGACTTCATACAAAAGTTATCCTCCATAAGAAGCAGTGGCATGCGCATACACAATGTCAAAGATCAAAGCCTTCCTTAGAGGTCATTGAAAATCACTTGTTCGGAGCAAAACTTCTACATGCATAGAGGGAATTGAATATAACTTGGCACAAATGTTAACCATTGTAAGGCGGAGGGTCGCGTGCAAAATTTAGGTCACTGCAGCCAAGATCATGGTCACACATAAGAGTCAAAATTCAAACGAAAATATGAAAATGCATATTTGAAGCTTTTAATAATCATTTAATAATCATTTATTGAGGGATTGAAACACGAATAAATACTATTACTATTACTCGTATATGCAAGGTCAAGGTCACTAAAGATGATAAACTATATGTATAGAAATTTTGTCCAGAACGTATCTCCTCAATGCGTGATGGGATTCAATGAAACTTCATAGAAATGTTCACCACTATGATATGCAGTGTCACATGCATGAACCAGGTCTCTAGGTTAAAGGTTAAGGTCACACTTAGAGGTCTTTGCTTGTTCGGACCTAAACTTCTACTTTTAATGTAACATTTCGAGGCATATTACGCACATATTCTAGGTCCCTGCTACCAAAGTCAAGGTCAAATTGGGAAACCAAAGTTTGTGTACGGGGACCATTTAGTCATCCCATATTGATGGATTGTAACACAAATGATAACTATCATGACAACAAGTGTGACATTTAGGTGTAATTTAGGTTAATATTTGCAAGGCCAAAGTCACTAGAGATGATAAAATATCCAGATATTTTCCGGAAATTGCCCTAAGCATATCTCCCGTAATGCCCAAATCTGTCAAAACCTTTTGTGACGGGCGTATTTATTTTGCAACAATTTTGTACATGTTTGTATTGATGCCTTGTTTTTTATTTTTTTTTTTACTGTGGTCATGTTCTAATTACTCTATATGTTTTGTATTGTTGCAAGGTTCTTATTTTTCTATATGTTTTGTATTTCAATTTGGCCATGCCCAATGCTCATTATTTTAATATTAAGGTGTCAGTACTAGAGTTAATGTAGGGGTTTTAAACCAAAATACTTCAATATCTCAGAGGACACGGGTGCCCCCACACTCCACTGTTTTGTCAATCTTATGACTCTTGATCAAATAGTTTTTGGCTGCACTTGCCACAGGTTGAAAACTAAAAATCTTTTACTAAATACTTAACATGGGCAAGAACTTTACAAAAACTTAATAAATCCACAAGCAAACCCCAAGGTGCATAAGAACATTACTGACCAACGCTCTTGTAAACTTTCAGACCTACAGGTCAAATATTTTTTTTTGAGCTATGCATGAACAAGCTGAAAATTGCAAATTTATACCAAGTCTAAAACAATAACTCTAACAAAACTGTTAAAACAATCTACTTGCAAAACCCTAGGTGCAAAGCTTCACTGTGATGTTGGTCATTATTCCTATAAAGTTGAATGATTCTAACTCAAGTACTCAAGGAACAAGTAACACAACACAATGAAACAGTTTGTACTAAGTCAACGGCAATCACTTTAGAAATACTGGATAAATCTACAAGCAAAACCCCAAGTGCACAACTACACATGCTGACCAACATTCCTGTTAGGTTCCATGACTCTAGGTTAAATACTTTTTGAGCTACGCATGACACAAATTGAAATTTGCAAATTTTCACTAAGTCAAGGGCCATAAATCTGACAAAACAGAATAAATCCACAAGCGAAACCCCAGGTGCACAACTTCAAATGCTGAGTAACATTCCTGTAAGACTTCACGACTCTATGTCAAATAGTTTTTGAGTTACATGCGACACAAGTTGAAAATCGTAAATTTTTACTAAGTCAAGGACAATAACTCTAAAAATATTAAATATATCCACACGAAAATACCCAGGTACACAACTTCACATGCTGAGCAACATTCCTGAAAGGTTGTATGACTATAGGGTCAAATACTTTTTAGTTATGTCCGACACAAGTTGAAAATAGCACAATTTTACTAAGTCAAGGGCAACAACTCTAAAAATACTAAATTAATACACACAAAAATACCCAGGTGCACAACTACACGTGCTGATCAACGTTTCTGTAAAGTTTCATGACACTAGGTCAAATACTTTTTTAGTTACGTGAGACACAAGTTGAAAATTGTAAATTTTCACTAAGTCAAGGGCAACAACTCTAAATATATCCACACGAAAATACCCAGTTGCACAATAACACAAGCTGATCAACATTTTGTAAAGTTTCAAGACTCTACGTCAAATCATTTTTGAGCTACGTGCGACGCAAAAAAGAACGGACGGACGTTCCAACATTTTGGGTTTAGGGGCTATTTTCTTTGCTATTTTCTTTGTTATCTTAAGGGCTACTAGCCCATAAACCCTTTGATCACGGAATGAACCTATTGTTCTCTTTTGTTCCTTTTTCTGTTACATAGCTCCTAAACCAAAAATGTTTGCTCGGACGGACGGATGGACGAATGGACGGACGGACAAGGATAAATTTAAATCCCCCCAAGTGGGGGCACAAAAATAAGGCTATGTTTAAATTACCTTGAAAAAAAGATGTATATATTATTATAGTATAACATTCAAACCGAGATAGTGGTGATTTGTGGGTAGTTTACCACCCGGATCACGGCACAAAGCCACATTGTATTTACCAGAGCCGAGTTCAGAGAATGTGAATGACCGTACAAATGATTTCATGATCAATCACAATAGAACCTGCACCGTTCAAGTATCGAACCCGGGTCGCCATATTCACAGCCCAACCCACTTCCTATTACCGGATGGTTAACCGAGATAGTAAAAGTACTTACATTCATATGGATTTACAGTCATGGTGAATTTAAGTTGGGCTGTTTCACCGAGATCAAGAGTCGTTTTGTCTGATTGTGCTGGACTGTCTACAGCCGTCATAGCAAAGGTGTATGTTGTTGTTGTAGCAGCAGTTTGAAGCGATGTTGATGGACCTTGAAAACTGCAATGAAAACGTTTCTTGTTGCAAACGAATAGATTTAACATTCGAACTTTATATACAAGAACATATTAACGTGTTTGGGTAATGCGACGATGTCTTCATACAAAGTAACCAATAAAGACTTGAAAATGTCTACCATTTCCATGTCCTCACAATAATAAAAGCCATCAATCGTAATGCAATATTAAACCAATATTGGAATATAAGAATATCGGAATATTTTGTGAAAAAAATTGCTAAACTAGTTAATATTCGATGATTGTCAAGTAGACGTTAAAGGCATATGGTAGGACATTTTTGAAAATGAAATTTTTAAAAAAATTATCCAATTTAAAAGGTGTATATCATGTATCTAAACTAGCGCATTCGAGTAATACTGACTTTGTATCTCCTGGTTCTGACACCCCGGTAGACGAGGACCCAGTTGCTTTTACAAGGTACTCTCTATCAGTCGGTGTTGTAGCAGTAAGTGATGCCAGACCACGGACGTAAAAACTAAACTGTCTAGTTCCTAAGTCAACAGTCTGAAAAGTAAAAGAAAAATGTTGTATTGATGACAGAATGATAAATAAATGTATTATAACACGTGTCTGGCTAGATAATCTAGATTGAATATTTTGTAGTTACATACTACTGGAAATAACTTCATAACAGTTTAGATCTTGAACAAATTGTTTATATACATTGATTATGTTGTAAGATTATAAGCTTTCTTTTAAAAGTAAGGCGTTATTTTTTCCGAATTGATTCAGTCAATTGATGTCTATGTAACATCGCGACAACGAGCTGTTAGCAACAGGACGACATGACGACAGAGCGAGAACGCGCCGTTTGGCGTTAGTCGTACTAACGCTAGCGACATAAAACCCACTAAGGTATTCCAAATCAACCACCATAATTTTATCTTTAAGGGTCTGTCGTGTCAAAATGCAAAAAACAAATGAGTTTCTGACATTATGAAGCCTTGTTAAACTGAACCACAGTGCAGAAGGAAGTGACCCAATACAGGTGGTAAACCGTTATAGATTGCTTGTCAAGCAGATTGAGTCTAGGGTTAAACTGATTTATCACATAAACCGCGGCGCAGGAGTGTAATAAAGCCATTCAATAAATATGATATTACACTAGTTTATTACATGTTTTGCAGTAGATTACTGAATTATAACGGTTAATTATATTCTGATAATTTCACAGTAATGATTACCAAATATAATTTCACAGTAGCCGAACTATATTTAGCGTAAAAATAAAATAATTATCATTAATGAATGTTTTTTTCAGCGGAAATGTAGTCAATCATAATAAAAAATGTACGTGATAACTGTAGTTCGTAAATATTTACGAACGTTGTGCTGAAAAACATCTAAAAACTAAAAATAATCGTGGAATTATATTTTGCTTCAATATTGTGACGTCATTATTTGATGACGTCATGAAGATAAGAGCATGACGTTACGCGGCAAAAATCAGTAAATGGTGTAAAAATCGTTAAAAAATCATGAAATAAACAGAAAATTTGTTTGTTTTACATGTAAGATCAAATAATATTTCACTCGTGAACCCCAGCTATTATATTTTCACTCGTGGCTACGCCACTCGTGGAAAATATTGCATCTGGTGTTCACTCGGTGAAATATTTTTCGATCTTACACTGAAACAAACAAATATCCTCTATGTAATAACACTTTGACGTGACGTCATTTGCGCTATATAGAAACATAGCGTTAAAGCGCGCTAATGTTAACGTTACACTATAGACGCGTCATTAAAAAATACTCATTTTAATAGTTTACTGTTCTTATCTTATATATGTGATAAATAGAATATTATATTCGTGTAGATTCAATACTAAATTTATTGAACTCGTTGAATAAAACTATATTATGCTCGCCAGAGGCTCGCATAATATGATTTTATTTAACTCGTTCAATAAATTTAGTATGGAACTACACACATTTAATATCCTCTATATAAGACACCGGCCTTTTTAAAAAAGAGACGGCGCCTTTACATTTTCTTTAAAACTATTTCCTTTAGATGTGTTCAAAATTTAAAAAAACCGAAACCCTGCTAAAAACCCGGGGGAAATTTAAACTTTGCACATGAAACATTTGGGAAAGCCGGGTCCCGTCCGTCCCATTTAAATTTAAACGGGGGTTTACACTTTTTGGGTTTGGGACAAAAAGCTATTGGGTTTAAAGGGAACCTACACTTTGACTTACCAACACATACTATATGATAAGTGAAAACACTCACCGAGAAAGTACATCCAAGGTTTTCATTACCAACGCTTTCAAACTTTACCGACGATAATACTGTGAAATCAATGACCACCCCAAACTCTACATAGTTATCTTCTAAATGAGTTCCCGACATCAGCGGCACCGGGCTTGAAGAGGCAATGTATCTGATAAAGATAATCATACTGAAGTATTTTCTTCAAAAGATTAGCATTATACGCAAGCTCAAATTCGTTTCGATAGCTAGTTTCTACGGTAAAAAAGGACACCGTAACTTTATCAAGTTATCTCAAATATTACTTTTTAGTTACTCTGACGTTGAAACTTCAAAATACATTTTTGATTATAGAATATTTGTGTACCTTTTAACTAGTGCACTTTGATAATATTATGCCTTAATATACTTTTAATGTAAAACTCCTACTCAGAGAGAATATTTCTTATATTAACATAGGGCACATTACTTTTACATGAAAACGCATTTTGTATCGTACTTGTAACCTCCCCTGGACTGATTATTGTAAAAAGTCGTGTTTTTGTCTTTCTGTTTGTTTTTTGTTGTTGTTTATATATATATATATTATTTGTCTTTTAAACTGTGTAGGTTTTGAAGGTTTTTTTCCGGTAACACAAATAATTAACACATTTGGTAATAGTGGATATTGCTAACTAACGCTATTACCCAATCTATTTACCATATCCGAAGACGTACGGAAAGGGACGAAAAGTTGCGATGGGTTATTACCCAGCTATCGGTTTCAAACAGACATAATAACATTTTACAGTTCACAAATAAAGAAATAATTATTAATAAAAACACAGATACTGAAAGAATGATTAATAAATGATATTTATAGATTCTGTCAAATTAACATTAAAAGGACAATAATTTGAAATACGTCACATTTTACACTGTATAATCTGAAATACTACAACAAATGCAAACTCTGTCATATTTCATACTCCTAAAATCTTAAATTAAGGACTTTAAACAAAATTATGACCAAAAAAACCAGAACATTCTGTATTGGTACATAAACATAGCAACGAACGATACTTACTTGCAAGCATTTGTAGATGTTCCTGTGTCGATTACCCCGGTCGTAGGATTTGCTATAGCAGCGGCGGTTACTGTATCATCATTTGGAAAGATCCTGATGTCAAAAGTTATTGTTGTTCCCGAATATGTTGCACTGTATATCACTGAAACAAAACAGTTATATCATGTCTAAAAGAGAAACTTAGATTACTTAAATAACATGCGTGACAGATGTGGTAACATGAAACAAAACAGTTATATCTTGTCTAAAAAAGAAAAATTAAATATCTTAAATAGCGTGATAGATGAGGTTACATGAAACACAACAGATATATCATGTCTTAAAGCGAAACTTAGAAATCTTAAATAGCGTGTCAGATGGGATAACATGAAACAAAACAGATATATCATGTCTAAAAGAGAAAACTTAGATTACTAAAATAACGTTGCGTGGGACAGATGGTGATAACATGAAACAAAACAGTTATATATTCATGTCTAAAAGCGAAACTTGGATATGTTAAAATAACGTGACAAATGAGGTTGCATAAACACAAAAAAGTAAAAGATATGTCTAAAAGCGAAACTTAGATATCTTAAATAACGTTACAGATGAGGTTACATGAAACACAACAGTTATATCATGTCTAAAAGCGAAACTTAGATATCTTTTATAACGTGACAGAAGAGGTTACACGAAACACAACAGTTATAGATATGTCTAAAAGTGAAACTTTTAGATATTTTAAACAACGTGCACGTGACAGATGAAGTAAGGTTATTTTTTCTATTCTTATTAAGTTACTCGATCCCGTGTAACAATTTCTTTTTTTCGCCAAATGTCCCGGAAATTACCCTGTCGCTTTGCTTTTATATTCAAATAGCCAATCCTTCGATTTGAGCCGAGCGACATTGCCACATTGCTACAACACGCCGCACGACAACGCGCCGTTTGATGTGTATCGTTAGCGACAGGCAACCGTTTGGCGGGTTTTGCTAGCGGCAAGACGAAAAGTCAATAACGATATACGTTGTGTTGTCGTTAGCGACAACACGACACACAAAGGTGTTCCAAGTCAGCCACCATAGTGAGGAGATGAGGTAAACGTTTTAAAGTTGATTAAAGTTGCCAATCAGTGGACTGAAAGTCATTAACTTTTGCCAATCATTGGACTGAAAGTGATTAACTTTTGCCAATCAGTGCAACCTGACCATGCCCTGTACACATACTGTTGGTAGCTCAAGTTTCGAATTTTGATACTTATAAGTCCTTTAGAAACTAGATTAAATGAACTGTTGTAAATTCAATCATTGGATGTTTCATTACACTAATGTTGCAGTTCAATGGTTGATATAAATCTAAACGCGTACACAGACATTGACATTAGGGTAAGAAGAACAACTCTCGTATACTTCGTCTTGTTTTAAATTATTTATTTTTTCACAAATGGGAATAATTTTACTGTCAACGCGATTGGCTTTTATTATTATCATTATTATTAGCATTTGAATCTATTGAATCTAAATAATTTGCCCGTTGTAAACAAATGATTCAAACATAATATGCGCATTAGTAAAGATGATATATAATTTAAAACAAACCACAACAAAACAAGAAGAAAAAAAACCCAAAACATGGGATATTTTTGTTAAACGAACAAAATATTAAATATATACTCACTTTGCTGTTCCACTCCAAATGCCTTTAATAAAAATAGAAACATAAATTAGCCGCGTCACGATAAAACCAACATAATGGGTTTGCGACCAGCATGGAACCAGACCAGCCTGTGCATCCGCGCAGTCTGATCAGGATCCAGGCTGTTCGCTTACATACCCTGAAACAATTACAGAAACTGATAGCGAACAGCATGGATCCTGATCAGACTGCGCGGAAAAATAGATTTAAAGAAATATTTTTGTTGACTGTCTTCGGTATATTCAAATACCTTGAACATCTTATTTAGATAATAATATATTTACTTACACATATGGGGGCGTCCGTGGCCGAGTGGTTAAGGTCATTGACTTCAAACCACTCGCCCCTCACCGCTGAGGGTTCGAATCCCGACAGGGACTTTGGATTCTTTCATGTGAGGAAGCTATCCAGCTAGCTTACGGAACGTCGGTGGTTCTACTCAGGTGCCCATTCGTGCCTGAAATAATGCACGGAAAAGTGCCTGAGGTCTTCCTCCACCAGTAAAGCTGGAACGTCGCGATATGACTTATACTGTGTCGATGTGACGTAAAACCCAAAACAAACAAAAACTTACACAAATAAAACATACATATTTCATACATTACATTAAAAAGCAGTTTCTTACTCATTTACAGTTTTGAATGGAAGAACTGTAAATCAGGTTAATTATAAGTAGCAGTGTTTCTATGAAATATTACACGTACTGGCTGTATAATTTTAGAAAATTCTTCAAACTGATATGAAACCATTCAAAAACTATTCTTAGCTTGCAGGTTAATTGTACAACTGTTAGATATGCTTTCCCACAACCATCTTTTCTTGGCCAACAAATTATTTTACATTATGTTTTAATTTCAGAAATAAAAAAAAGACTTGTAAACAACAACAATAACAACAGCGACGACAAAAACAAATAAATAAATCTAGTAGACATGACATATCAGTATTTTATACTTACATGACTTAAGAACAGGAAGCTCGCAAACACGTATATTAGAATCTGCATCTGGAATTTTAAAAAGGATCACTTTCACACAAATTTCTTCTTTATTTCAACTCTAGTAAGTTTGATAATGATAATAATGATAATGATAATGATAATGACCCCCACAACTTTTGTCACATCAGAACCACATAACTAATGCAGCAGTATCAACAGACACACAATACTTTTGGAACATATGACCCACATAAATAATGTAACATCAGGCCTTTATATCAGACCTAAATAATGAATGTAACCTTAGACCCCCCCCCCCCAAAAAAAAACACACAAAAAAAAAAACATTTTGTAACATACGACACACATAACTTATGTAACATCAGATCCATATAACTGAATGCAACATTAGAACAACACAAGTAATGTAACGTAAGACACACATTACTAATGAAATATAGACCAACACAACTAATGTAACGAAGGACAAACATGACTAATGTTACATTACACCAACACAACTAATGTAACGTAAGACACACATAACTAATGTAACATTAGACCAAAACAACTAATGTAATAAAGGACACACATGACTAATGTAGCATTAGATCAACACAACTTACGAAACGTAAGACAAACATAACTAATGTAACATTAGACCTACATAACTAATGTAACATAGGACACACTTAACAAATGTAACATTAGACCAACACAACTAATGTAACAAAGGACACACATGACTAATGTAACATTAGACCAACACAACTAATGTAACGTAAGAAACACATAACTAATGCAACATTAAACCAACACAAGTTTTGTAACGTAGGACACACATAACTAATGAAACATTAGACCAACACAACTAATGTAACGAAGGACAAACATAACTAATGTTACATTACATCAACACAACTAATGTAACGTAAGACACACATAACTAATGTAACATTAGACCAAAACAACTAATGTAACAAAGGACACACATGAATATTGTAACATAAGACCAACACAACTTATGTAACGTAGGACAAACATAAAAAATGTAACATTAGACCAACATAACTAATGTAACATTAGACCTACACCACTAATGTAACAAAGGACACACTTAACTGATGTAACATTAGACCTACATCACTAATGTAACAAAGTACACACATAACTAATGTTACATTAGACTAACACAACTAATGTAACATAGGACACACATGACTAATGTAACATTAGACCAACACAACTTATGTAACATAGGACACACATAACTAATGTAACATTAGACCAACACAACTAATGTAACAAAGGACACACATGACTAATGTAACATTAGACCAACACAACTAATGTAACACAGGACACACATAACTAATGTAACATAAGACCAACACAACTAATGTAACGTAAGACACACATAACTTATGTAATATTAGACCAACACAGCTAATGTTACGTAAGACACATATAGCTAATGTAACATTAGACAAACACAACTAATGTAACATATGACACGCATAACTAATGTAACATAAGACCAACACAACTAATGTAACATTTGACACACATAACTTGTGTAACATTAGACCAACACAACTAATGTTACGTAATACACACATAACTAATGTAACATTAGACCAACATAACTAATGTAACATATGACACACATAACTAATGTAACATAAGACCAACACAACTAATGTTACGTAAGACACACATAATTAATGTACCATTAGACCAACACAACTAAAGTAACATATGACACACATAACTAATGTAACATTAAACCAACACAACTAATGTAACGCAGGACATACATAACTTGTGTAACATTAGACCAACACAACCTTTGTAACATCAAACCTATATAACTAATCCAACAGTAGACCAACATAACAAATAAGACGTAAGACCCACATAACTAGTGTAACATAAGACCAATTTAACTTATAAAACATCAGACGCATATTACTTAAGTAACATAAGATTTACTCGCATGGCTAATGCTACATTCGACCCACATGACTAATTTACATGCATAACTAATGTAACATAACACCCATAAATACTTATGTTACAATAGACCCATTTTACTAATGTAACATCAGACCTGCATAAGTAATGTAGCATCATATTCACATGACTAAAATGACCACATAACTAATGTAACAAAAGAACCCGCGTCACTAATATAACATTAGATCCATATAACTTATTTTAATGTAACATCAGACCCATATAAGTAATGTAACACCATCCCGCTTAATATACCCATATAAATTAAGCGACATATGAACGCCAAAACTAATGTAACATTGGCCCCACTAAACTAAGGTAGAATTCTACCCGCAAAACTACTGTTTTACCAGACCTGCATAACTAATGTAATATTAGACTTGCACCAACAGGTGATTTGACAGGTCCATATCCTTGTTATCCGTAAATTCCAAAATGGTCAAAAGTCTTTGAACAATTCATTAAATAAATAAAACTTACTATATATACAATGTAAATATATCTAAAAAAGCATTTCTGCATTAAAGAATCATTTTTGTAAAAACGGAAATTAACATTTAATGCAAATAAAACTTTATTATATTACCTTTGATAAAATGAAAAATCCTATGAAACGAAATTGTAACTTCAAATGTCACGGTTAAATGAACCCAACATATATAATATCATACTAAACTAATGGTAGTCACGATTCACTTATTACCGAATACAATATATTCTCACTGCATTTCAAGCCTCCACGGAACATTTTCAACTTCACGTGGTGTAGGGGCAATCGTTAAACATCGGCACTTCTCGTATAGTTCGGATAACAGAGACGAATACACCAACGCGAATCGCCACAGCTATTAAGGCAGTGTTCAGCCGCGGAAAAAGTAACAAATGACATGTCCGTCAGTATTCAGAGTATTCCTTTTTACGATCGTTGAAAATATCACTGTGACTCTTTCTTCCACTGCGTAAAAGAACACATTCACTTTGACATGAATGTGACCCATGGAGGCCACAGTTTTATCATGATTGTGGCAAAGTAGTTCCAATATGTCGCCCTATTATGACAAAAGTCTATAGCAAAGCATAATAGCCGAAGAGATCAGGTTGGATGTAGGGGGTTAGATAGAATATTGCGAAATTCCAAACCGAAGGCGAACAGTTTGGTCGAGAACAAGCTTAAGTAATAACAGGTAAGAAATTTGCACCAAACCCCCTCCTTAACTGTTCGCGGTCGTCTATAGGCCTCATTGATGCGATAAAAATACTCAAAATGTTTCGACTTCGTGCACACTGTAACACAAACTTTTCAATTCATTAGGCCCTAAAGAAGTTTGCTTATATGTATTGTATTTCCGGGTGCCAGTGATGACATATGATTGCGGTGATGATAGATGTCTGTTGTGATGACAGATGACTGCAGTGATGACAGATGACTGTAGTGATGACATGTGAATGTAGTGATGACAGATGACTGTAGTGATGACATGTGACTGTAGTGATGACAGATGACTGTAGTGATGACAGATGACTGTAGTGATGACAGATGACTGTAGTGATGACAGATGACTGTAGTGATGACAGATGACTGTAGTGATGACAGATGACTGTAGTGATGACAGATGACTGCAGTGATGACAGATGACTGTAGTGATGACAGATGACTGTAGTGATGACAGATGACTGCAGTGATGACAGATGACTGTAGTGATGACAGATGACTGCAGTGATGACAGATGACTGTAGTGATGACAGATGACTGTAGTGATGACATGTGACTGTAGTGATGACAGATGACTGTAGTGATGACAGATGACTGTAGTGATGACAGATGACTGTAGTGATGACAGATGACTGCAGTGATGACAGATGACTGTAGTGATGACATGTGACTGTAGTGATGACAGATGACTGTAGTGATGACAGATGACTACAGTGATGAACAGATGACTTTTGTAGTGATGACAGATGACTGCAGTGATGACAGATGACTGCAGTGATGACAGATGACTGTAGTGATGACAGATGACTACAGTAATGACAGATGACTGCAGTGATGACAGATAAATGCAGTGATGACAGATGACTACAGTGATGACAGATGAATGCAGTGATGACAGATGACTACAGTGATGACAGATGACTGTAGTTATGACAGATGACTGCAGAGATGACAGATGACTGTAGTGATGACAGATGACTACAGTGATGACAGATGACTTCAGTGATTACAGATGACTTCAGTGATGACAGATGACTGTTGTGATGACAGAAACCTTAAATTTACTGATTAGTACAGGTTAGTTATAAACTTAGTAAATGAAAATTTACGAGTATATTACGCAAATAAGGACAGTTTCAACACTATAGACCTACTGTCCATTGACTGGAGATACTACCAAGTGATTCTGTTTTTTGGACTGGTTTCACCTTTTCATAAGATATTTGAAGAGGGTTAAGATTGACAGCTCCGGAAAATTCTGTGAGCATGATTGTATTTTGTTTAAAATATCCAAAGCTTGAAATAAATAAAGGAACTTCCTGTCATACACATAAACAGTCACCGCTTAGAGTCACACATGCCAAATAGCAACACATTGTGTCTTTTCTTGAGAATGTTACAAACATCCAAACTAGCCCATTCGAAAAGTAAATGATGCCGCTATAGGCAGAAATTTACTGTCGAGGCTGCCGATGATGATAGAAACGCTCTGAAATGGCTAACATTCTTACAGAATGTAGGTTTATTGAAAACTGTAACTGTAGTTAAAATCATAGAATTTATATAAATTTTGAATGAGCTTAGTTAGGATAACAAAACTTTAGGAAGCGAAACTGGGGAGTTGCCGAGACCGTGTTTCCGAGTCATCTGCCTTTGTATTTGAAAATGTTGAATAATTCTCTTATATAAGTTAGCTGTCATCGAAGTTACTTGTTACAGCAGAAAAATCAATTTTAAGAGCCGATAACTGGAAAACGGGCTTTATGACCACATGTTTCGCTTAAAAGGTGTCTATTTTCATGTTCTAAGCTCATGCAAAGTTTAAAAAAATTAATCATACAATTTTCATTGTGCCTATATGTATATGTTGCATAAGCATTTAAACTTTCATTTGTAATATTTTCTCAAGATAGAAGAGTTATCAATGCGGTAAGTGCATCGATATCACGCAATAGACATTGTAAGAAAATCAGAGTCCATCAATTCGGTGAGACTTTACATTGTTTGAAAATAAAAAGAACGATTCGGTGAGCTCAACAGTGAGTGGCAAAACATGTTAGATGATTTGCAGTACACAAAGGTTTAAACTCTTCATTACTACAATCGTTCATCAAATGGTCACAGGTGTCAAAAAAACATTTGTCATTCGGAACTGCCTCGGCTATTATCTATAAAATCGGTTCTTATCCGAAGACTGACGGAAAGGGCCGAGTAGTTGCGATTGTCCTTTCATGTCAGAAACTCTCAGTGGAGTACCTTTAACAAACTTGTATAGGTTAAAATGGACTTTAAAGCTGAATATAAGATTTTTACAGATGTATTTTATGTTGGTATATACTTATTAGGCGTAGTATGTAGAAATTCATGCGTGAAATAGACAGTCACAATTCGGTGGATTTTATGTGCAGTCACTCGAAACTGTTTTACCACACCCGACTACATACAAATGATGTTTTACCTATCAGTTATTCAGTTTTCATGCAATTATTGTTTTAATTAAAGACTGTTGCATTTGCTAATTAATTTAAGAAACAATGTCACAATTTAAATTAATTTGTCCAAGCTGTATCTTTAGAAAGAATAAAACAATAAAAGAATAATATAATTAAAGAATAAGATGATGAACGAATAATATAATAAAAGAAAGTCAATATAGATGAAACGAACGCATGTATGTCGAAATTGGTTGCCAAAAAAACGTTTTTTTTTTAATAAATGTACACAACATTTTCGGCTGAGATTTTTTAGCGATTCAATTCTTGTGTTCGGAATAACATCATTGATATTTTAACTACCCTTATTTATAACAGACAAAGTAGCCATGTAACAGAAGTATAGCTAATTGGACGTTTTAAAGTGTACAAAGCTATATATCTGCTACATAAATTTTACAAACTTTTTGTTTTTGTTGTTTTTTTTTTTATTTTGAATTTTGAAAAATGTATTATTCCAAAATACTACAACTAAAACACCTTTATGACAGGAATACGCTTGTGTGTTTCATTAAAAGGCCATGTCCATGTTAAACGTTAAAAGACAAGCATAAAGGCCCTTTACTCAAAATCTTTCTACTTTTGATGTCTTGTTACGGTTTCAAAAAAATATTGGCAAATTACATGGAACATCTCATCTGTTGCGTATATCGTCTTTAGCAATTAGTATAGTTATAGTGATTAAGAAATTTGTATGTTAAAATACAATGTACTACTACTTTGTTTACATGTTTACATTTCTACTTTTATGAAAAATAAGATCACATTCTGCGCTTTTTTTTCAAATGACTAGTGTCTAACATGTTCTAAAATCATTTTATTAAAATGTTAAAAAAGAACACAACAACTCATATTTGCCTGTTCTAAAGAAAAAAGTTTTATTTGTTTCTGCCTTTAAAATAGAAACATAATATCGTGTTTCGGAAGCTTTTCCTATAATTACGTAAACACTTCATGTGTGTAAAATAAAAAAAGACAGTCCATGTTACAACTCTTCCGAGATTGAACCATAACGTTATTGAACAACACAAGTTTAAAGTTCATGAATTATAAATGAGCCGCGCCACGACAAAACCAACATAATGGGTTTGCGACCAGCATGGATCCAGACCAGCCTGCGCATCCGCGCAGTCTGATCAGGATCCATGCTGTTCGCTATCGGTTTCTCTACTTGTTATAGTTTGTAAGCGAACAGCATGGATCCTGATCAGACTGCGCGGATGCGCAGGCTGGTCTGGATCCATGCTGGTCGCAAACCCACTATGTTGGTTTTGTCGTGACGCGGCTCAAATGTATGTTGACTTTATACCCTTTAAAGAATTGCCGCTTTTTAAACATAATAGTGTATTTCTCATTTTTGTATGTTACAGTTTTTAAAGCTCATAAAATATGTATTTAACAAACATATTTCATAATAATACATAGATGACATTCAAGTTTTTTTCTACAAATATACCGTTTATTTTCATCAAGTGGTAAGAAAATAAATATTTCATAAGTGGCAGAAGCCACGAGTGAAATATAATAATTTTCATACCACAATATGAAAATAAATCCTGTATTTATAGAAAAATACTTGAATTTTCTATGTTTATATACAATTTTCACATTTTTAACATAACAATTTGAAAGACTTCCCCTTAAAATCTGTGTATTGGCTGAAATTGGAAGAATTTAGTCATGCAAGACACCAGTAAAAATACGGAAAATAGGTTTCACTGCAGTGAAAAATAAAATTTTAAAGTAAAAATATGGAATATGAAAATACGAGTTTTATTTCATCAATATTTCTCAATATTTAATTTAAAGTATATAATAAATGTAAATATTAACCTATAGAAGTATTGAGACTAAAGCATTCATGTACCTTCATTACAACAATATATAACCCGACAAAGATATACCCGCATTAACAAGGGAGATAAATATTGGTTATACTATTAGTGTCTGTTACAAGAGTTACATAAAATTCAGTCAGGAAAATGGGATCTTAAATTTTTGTTGAGCTGTTGTGCTCGGGCATGAACTGGAGAGTTGGAGAGTGTCAAGGGCTCTCCATTGTTAAAAGTAACTAAAATAATTCATAATATTGTATTAAAATAATTGAGCTCATTTCATAAAAAAGAAAAAATGAAGGAAAAAGTCGTAGAAAAAAAGAAATTATCAACTTGATCTTTTGGCTATTTTTCATTTGAATGTTGCTTTCGACATATGCGAAAAAACACATCACTTTCTTGACAGTCAGCTTCTATTTCTTTTATCGTCACTTCCTGTTACTGAACAAGATGAAGGAGACACACTCGAATCTTTATTGTAGTAGCTTCCGGTCTTCGATTTCCGGTGTTTCCGTGACAATAATATTGCTGCGTGTCTAGCTTCGGTATAGGACAGTACCATAAGACCAAAAACTATAGCTGTTATTGTACCAAGAACACCGAGGGATAACTTGAAGGTAGTTGTTTCTGAACATTTAATGCAGTCTTTATTTGTACCTGCATATTGAAAAAAACATGTTTTCTTTAAAGATACACACACATTTACCTATATCAAATCGTGAAGATTCACGTGCAAATTATTTCAAACTGAAAGGATATAAAGCTGTATCTTATGAAATATTTACATAAACTTCAAAAAAAGCTAAAAATAATTATGTTGTTTTCTATAATTTTATGGTCGATACCCGAAAGATTTGTAACATAAAATGTTTCTGTTTTTAACAAACATGAAAACTGTATATTAAGAGAATGAAATTTTCCAGAACAAAAACACTATGCTGCTATTATTATGATTAGGTTTCAATTGTTTCATAAGATTCCGTGCATGTTTCATTAACTCAAAAGGGAATGCACCAACATATATCTTTCATACACTTCTTTTTCGAAATTCTTACAAAAATGTTGTGCTACATACAGGCTAAAATAATAATAAATAATGGATTAACAGATAATCTGTAAGTGTAAACATATGTGAAGTATACCACTTGGACAATTTATTTTTCAAAGTAGTCGCTTTATAGAAAAGTATGAAAGTATATACATGAGCCGCGTCATGACATAACCAACATAATGGGTTTGCGACCAGCATGGATCCAGACCAGCCTGCGCATCCGCGCAGTCTGATCAGGATCCATGCTGTTCGCTGTCAGTTTCTCTACTTGTAATAGGGTTGGTAAGCGAACAGCATGGATCCTGATCAGACTGCATGGATGCGCAGGCTGGTCTGGATCCATGCTGGTCGCAAACGCACTATGTTGGTTTTGTCGTGACGCGGCACATATCAATAATTCCGCTTTGAGAATAACTTTGATATGTACTTTTCGTTTGCAATTCTAAACCCTGATATTTACCTTGGTTAGTAATGTTGACTGAAGCTTCTACAAACATGTAATTTAATGTATTCAGTGAAAAAAATCATCAACATTTCAGAAAATGTACAAAAACAGAAAAGTCTTACATTTCTCACGGGCAAAAAAACTGGTATTTCTTCAATAATTTGTCTGTTTTTGAAAAAAAAAACCTGCATTAAGGTAAATATTCATCAGTCAGGAATTGGCAATTAAGATAACAATCCATATTTAACAGAAGTAAGTATATAGAGGCAAACTACCCATTCAAAACTTTCTAAGATGGGCATTTTTTGATAGTCTTACATTTCTCACGGCTAGATTTTATTAATTTCAAGGGGAATATCAAAGAATACATATAAAATCTCAAAAATATTTCTTAATAGCAGACAAACATCCTATTCAGTTGTGATTTTGGTTGTTTTCATCAAAT